CACCAGGAGGTGAAAGGGACCGCGTCAATAATGGTTGGAATTATTTCAGGAGGTCGTACCTCTCCTGCCCTATGTACTGTTTTCTGAGGGTGTGGCAGCAGACTGGGTCCACTGTGATCTTGGTGCCTTAACTGGAGATAGGTTACGAAAGAGTGTTTAAGAACCCTCTCCTTCTCCCGAAGAGCTTATGTCAGCGGGTATGCACATTACATGGCTTCGAAATAAACCAAAAAAGATTACACAAGCCCAAAACAGGATGCAGCCTTACAGATGTACCTCACCGCAGTCTGCTCCAGAGAAGGGGTAGCCTGGAGGTGCGCTCCGGTCTGCCACCCCACAGTGGAGCAACCCAACTGACGCCGCCGTCCGCGTGTGTTTCAGAGGAGGGTCGGCTGGCGGCGGGTCCCTGCCTAACAGCCGACAGACGTCCATCTGATGAGCTGCACCCGGCCACCTCGCGGCCGTCCGAGGCAGCTCTAGAGACGGCCGCCAAGCTGCTCTTCCTGGCCGTGCGCTGGGCACACACCATACCATCTTTTATACAGGTCAGATGGCGTTGCAGCCCGCGGCTGGTCGACAGACTAACGGCGAAGTGATGGAAACATGTGCTTTGCTGCTTGGACCACAGGTGCCTAGGATTTGGACGAGCTCGAGTGGTGGGTTCACATGGGTGTAGATATACTCGAATTTAAACGCATTTCTCATCAACATGGCTCAGGCAAGTTTTGGTGCCAAAGGAAACCCCCTCAGCAAGACGATTTGGTTGCATTGGGTTTTACAGTCGCATCTGATGTTATAGTCATCTATGATAAGGCTCATTCTGTCGATGCATTGCCACATGAAGGCAACTTTTTACATTGCATCATAGCGCCAGAACTACCAACCACACCGAAACTGAGTAGTCATGATGCTATTGGTAAATGCCTTGCAGTCTCCTCCATTCCTTTGTTACGAGGTATAGCTGTTGCTTTCACCGACCCAACCATCAACACCCTGTTAAGTATTTGCGGTGAGATGTTCGTATGGGTATTAACAAATCTTAACCGATGCGAGGGTTTGGCGGCGGATATTATTGTTCATCGTTTGGCCGACAGATGTCGCGACTGGAGCAGAGTGCGCTGCTGGAAGCCAGCTGGAGTGAGCTGTTCGTCATCAGCGCCGCCCAGTGGCCTCTTGTCATCGACAGCCGTACGTCCATTTCGACCGCTGCCCGGCGGCCAAGGTCGTTCACAAGGTTGACTTGGTTCAACCTTGTGATCTGGTGATGGTCGCTCGGAGGTGCGCCCATGACATTGTCATGACCGTCCAGACCAATGTCCTCACTGACGTGATGATTGTTCAGTGCAATCTGTTGATGCCATAAACATCGCTCGGCCCAATCTCCTTTTATCGGATCTTTTGACGTCATAACCAACGCTCGGCCCAATCTCCTATTCTCGGATGATCGTAAAGCCCATTTCCCTGACTCTCTGGATCTCTCTGAGCTGTCCTGACTGGCGAGTGCACGGCAGACAAGGCGGTGTGTGCAGCATTGCACTTCGCTCCATGATGTCTGCCCTCCAGCCCTTGCTTTGCCAAGTCCTTGGTTTGGCAGTTTGTCGCGAGCGGACGCGGCCGTCTGTGAGGATCAGCTCGGCCGGGTGTCCGCATCAGACGGGTTCGACGGCAGACGGCGGCTCGGCCATGCTCCATCACGGGAGACGTGTCTTGGCACAAGGAACCGTGTCTCAGCACCGGGGCGGTGTCTCAGCACCGGACCGTGTCTCAGCACCAGGGCACCGTCTCAGCACCGGGGCGGCGTCTCAGCACCGGGCCGCGCCTCAGCACCGGGCCGCGTCTCAGCACCGGACCGCGTCTCAGCACCGGACCGTGTCTCAGCACCGGAGCGGCGTCTCAGCACCGGGCCGCGTCTCAGCACCGGTCCGCGTCTCAGCACCGGACCGTGTCTCAGCACCGGAGCGGTGTCTCAGCACCGGACCGTGTCTCAGCACCGGGGCACCGTCTCAGCACTGGGCGGTGTCTCAGCACCGAGGCCATGTTTCAACGCCGGACCGTGTCTCAGCACTGAGGTCGTGTTTCAACACCCGGCCGTGTTTCAGCACCGAGGCCGTGTCTCAGCACCGGGCCGTGTTTCAGCGTCGGAGCTGGCGGCCGCCTGCGGTCCGCGCCTGCAGCCGGAGCTGGAGCGGCAGCTGGCCGGGCTCATCGACATCATCCAGCGTTTCGCCGACCTCAAGGTCGATCACACCGAGTACGCCTGCCTGCGGGCGCTGGTGCTCTTCAAACCAGGTGCGGTCTGATGAACACGGGCGCCGCGCCGCGCTCCATGTGGTAACCGAGGGCAGGTACTCACATACAGTAGATGATGTGGTTATGCGTGCTGGCTTGGGTCCGCCAGAGACTTAGTGATTCATTTGTGCAGTATTTTATCTCCACTATGCACTTGTTTTATCGATTTAGCGGGCGGCTGCACCATACCTAACTTCGAGGTCTTACGTGTGATGTGCTGTTTCAGAGGTGAAGTCGGTACGAGACCCCAAATACATTGAAATTCTGCAGGATCAGACTCACCTGATGCTGTACGAGTATGTTTTCTCTCAGAAAATGGCGGCCAAGGTAAGCTTAAATCCTGGTCCACGGACCCTGGCTTGGTTTAGCTGGGATAAGGGCCCTTTCGGCCAGCAATAACCTTTCATGTCTTTGGAATGAAGGGACACAGAGAGTGACCCGGGAAACAGCTGCAGGCATCTGGCGGTGCTGTGTGGCTGGGACTTAGCCCGAACGGGAAGCCTCTCTGGGCTGTGTTCGGACGTTTGGGCGGCTCACCCGTCATGGGCCCGCTCCAGGCTGATGTTTCAGCTTGCCTCGGGTTAACGGGGAGTTACGGGGATTTCGGATGAAGCGGTGGGTGAGGAAATAGGGGCGCGTGTCTCGGGCTCGTAAAACCTGGAGCGATGACTAAGGACAAATGTGCGGCGCATCAAAGGCTTAGCGTGATCAAGCATGGCTGCCTCCCCCCTCAGCATCTAAGTTGCTCACATGAGTTCCCATCACATGTCTAGAGTTGCGGGGAGGCTGCGCTCGAAGCCTGAATTTTTTCTATTTATTTCTGTTAAGCCTATTTATATTCAGCTCCCACAGGCGTCATGTTAAAGTCCAGCCCGCAGAGCCTTAACAGTCTGCTCCCAGTGACCTTGCCAGGGCCACTGACATCTTGCATGCCATTTGTCGAGGAATGACCAATTAACCAATTACGAGACGTACGGCGCTGAAGCTCGCGTCTCCACATCGGAGACGCGGTGCACTGCTACAGTAGTCTGGTGACGTCATCGCCCATCGGTGTGGTGACGTCAGCGTCCATCGGTGTGGTGACGTCAGCGTCCATCGGTGTGGTGACGTCAACGTCCATCAGCGTGATGAGTCAGCGTCCGTCGGTGTAATGACGTCAGCGTCCGTCGGTGTAGTGACGTCAGCGTCCGTCGGTAGGCGCGGTTCGGCCGCCTGCTCCTGCTGCTCTCGTCCCTGCGGACCGTGTCCGGCACGTTCCTGCAGGAGGTGTTCTTCAAGCGGGCGCTGGGAGGCGTGCCGATATCGCAGCTGCTGGCGGACCTCAACGGCAGCTCCACTGCCATCTAGCGGCAGGCAGCGGTACTGACAGCTCTAGTTGGCCCACCGCCCGCGTCACCCGCTCGTTGTTTGTGCCGCGCCGGGATGGAGCGGGCGAGCCCCGTGCCGTCGGTGACAGGGGTACGCGTTCATTCACGCGCGTGTTATTTGTTGGCGGGTGGCAGCAGCGGATCAGAGGAGGCAGCCGCGGCGATCAACCGAGCCAGGTGTTGGAGGGTAGCTCTGTTCGCGGTCGCCGACACGCCCGGCTTCAGCGCCACGACCGACCGCATCTCGATGTTGCATACACGTTTCTAGGTGTACACCAGGCTGTTGTCTTCAGACCACACACTCCTCTTTCCTCATTTCCCGCTCCATACCGGATCCCAGCAGCGTCCCCGTCCTTCCAGGGCAGGTTACGGCTGTCGCGTCATGAGCCGGCTTCACTGCCGCCCTGGTTAGGGCCCAACCCTTGCGCCGGCACGAAGTCCAGGTCCCTGCCCCTGCGTGGGGCGAGGCCTGCTGGCGGAATCGTCCCACGGTAGCGGCAGTCTAAACATCTGTCCAACGCAATGCTGGACACTTCAGTGTGCAGCTGTTGTCGCATGTATAAACAGATGAAAGTTCGGCGAAGAGGCAGGTCAACCAAGGTTATGGGATCGCCTCAGGTGATTGACCCTCCTCTTGAGAAGTGGATGGTCAGATTGAGAATCGCGTTCACCATCAAGCAACCGAACTACTACACCGAGAGAGGAAAGGCCCGGATTTTGTTTGACTTAATCTGACGAGAGAAGCATGCGAGTGCAGTCAAACTAGGAAAGCAAAAAATTCAGACCGTATACAAAGCTGACGCCCGTTTTTCACCACTGCTGCCACGGCAGGCGAACACCAGCTGCAGGGTCACACCAGCAGCTCAACGTCGCGCACGGCGGCGGGGCCGGTGGCGTAACGATGCGGCGATCTACCTCAGGCGCGACAGAACGACAGCAGCCAGCTACAACAGCCGTGTAGGCGCCGGCTCGCAGTTGACCTTCAACCTACTGTTACAAAGCAATCAAATAACAGCGATGGTGTGCACGAGGTACACAGGCGGACATCATGTAGTAAACTGACAGCAAGAGGGCTTTCACAAAATATAAAACCTGAACTAACACAAACTAAAAAGCATTAGACTTTTCAACATCTTAGTTTTTTCGTGGGCGTGCTGAATGGCCCTCAAACCAGTCATATCATGACGTGTAAAACTATCAAACCGCTAAAAAATTTCGTCGTGCTTAGTTCTTAGAAAAATATCAGTGGCACCAAGAATCAAACTTACTTTTCATGGGTCGACGTGCAAACATGACATCACTGGCCTGTTTTCCGCCGCAACATATTCATATCAAAGCCACCTCAAAACGGATAGCACGTGTATTGACCGTCTTCCCCACATATAACGCGGCAAACCCACACCGGGCGTGAAACCAAACGAGCGGGCGAAGCGGGCGCCACCATCGCCGCCACCAGCGAGCGGCAGTTTGCGAGCCGGCCGCCCGGTGGCGCCACTACTGGCCGAGCGGCCGCGGCGCCGGGTTCTGGTGGAGTGAGTCGACCAAGAAGAGCTTGGCCAGCGCCTGCGAGCAGAAGTCGTTGATCTGCTGGCAGTAGATGGCCATCTGGCCGCCGACGATGACGCCCGCCTCCAGGTCGCGAGGCGGCTGGATCGGCTTGAAGTTGAAATCCTCGTCGGGCAGGGGCGGCTCGCCGCGCGCCTTCCGCGCCGCGTTCTCCACGTTCTGGCGGGCGTGGGAAGACGGCGTCAGCTGGCCGGCACGTCTCAAGACTGGCTCGAACTCAGGCGCAATGGGGGCCAGGATCAGCTGGCATGAGGGGACTCGACAGCTGATTTCAGACAAACCTGGCCCGAACTGGGCTGGGCTGTCAGAACGTAACAACTTGCGGCACGGTGAAGCCCGGCTCTCATGCCAGGAGAGATACAAACCCAGTCACCGATCAGGGAATCACATAATCCAGGCAGTATCACATACGTTGTTCCGTCAACTGTGTGTTCACAGCACTGGTTATGCGGATACAATCAGTCCCCCCCCCCCCCCCCTCGTTCATATCTCCGATCTGTGCCCTGCTGCGGCCGGGCCCTGCGCCGCCACGCGCCACCCGCGGTCACCCGGCCACCGCCGGCCGCGCTGCTCACCCGTCGCTGCGTGTACCGCTGCTTCTCCAGCTGTTGCTTCACCGTCTGCTTCTGGAACTGGTGGAACTGGGACATCTCGTCCGTGCAGTCCATGATGCTGCGCAGATGGCGCTGCAGCACGGGCCTGAGGGCCGTAGAGTAGGCTCGGACGACGGTCTGACACAGAGGCGTTAGCGCCTCACATAGAGCGCCGCACGGAGCTTTGTGCGCATTCGACCTACTTACCAACCAACCAGTTGCTATCTCATACACTTGAATTTGTCCGCCGGGCCATGTTCAGAATTAAATTAATTTGTTGGGCATTTCGTGGCTCTCATGTTAAGCCAACAGCGAACGGCTTCACGCGCTGGCGGCGCCCTACTGGTCTGATCCAGCAAGATTTGATACAAAGACGTGCCCCCGCTAGCCTGGCCCCACGGCTCAGTTCAGAAGGCCAGCCGGCACCAGCGCCGAGCCGCCGCTGCAGCCGTGCATAACGGAGCTTCACAAGGACAGACGCTACAAACACTGCAGTATCAGACCGTTACAAGCGACCCACTCTTAACGCCCAGTCTGCGCCCTCCGATCAAGACTCACGCGGTGCCTAGATCCATCATCTCCAGGTTACGCGTCTCGGGGAACACCTCGCTCAGCTCGGAGAGCAGCGCGTTCACCAGGTGAGAGTTGCGCACCACCACCTGCGGAGGCCGGGCCGCACGTCACGTGCCGCTCGCCGGGCGAGAGCGGCGATCGCCACCAGCGGAGGCAGGCAGGCGGCGGCGGCAGCGACGGCGCCGAGACGCTACCGTCACAGCCGCGCTAGGCTTTATCAGATGTGACCAACAATACGATGAAAGCATGTTCGGAGAGCAGACCGGTGCATCGCTTAATGCAATTCGACTCGAAGGCGTTGAAAAGGTCACAGATTATTTTAAAACCGTAGGTGAAAATGGTGGCACCCCATTTGATTCGCAAGGCATGATATTTTTTCCAGCTACAACTATTTTGACACCACATTTCTCCAACGTCTCCACTGGTCATGGGAGGCCAGCCAGTTTTGATCATACACACCGTGGCAGGGAATTCCCGCGGTAGCGTTATAACGTAGCGGACAGGTCACATGCGCGACATCACGATGTATGCATAGATATTTATAAGATGATATATATATATGTATATATATATATATATATATATATATATATATATATATATATATATATATATATATGGTTAATGTTTCATTACATTCATACGATTATGATCACATTATAACTCTTGGTAAACTTCTTTAGCTGTGAAACAGCACGTCACCGTAATTAAGCACCACAACAGTTTAATCGAAGGCAATGCCAGACCTTTGCGTGCTCACCACAGCGTAAAAAATACCCCTGGTAAAAAAGTCGCATTTTTTAGCAAAACTTGCGCAAAGTTGCACCTTTTTGTTGCAATTCCTATTCGTGTTTTCAGAATGTTTCTTCAGTCAGATTTAGCGATGATTAATTACGTCTTGTTAGCCTTAATGACGGCCGATGACAAAAAACGCGATTTCTTCTACCACGCCATAAAGAAGCGGTGCCAGAACATGCAACGTCCTGCCGAAGCTTAAAGGCACCGCGCGCGTACCATCCGCCCACGATGAGGCTCAGCAGACTGCACGCCCACGCACCGCCCACCAGTCTGACCTTCAGCTCCTGGAACATGTTCTCGTGACCGATCTTGAGCGTCCTGAGCATGTCGAAGTTGAAGTAGCCCCTCTCCTTGACCATCTCCATGGCCGGCTTGGTGAGCCGGTACGCCTTGATGGCCAGGCAGCCGGCGGCCGTCTTCATTGGGTCTGTTGAGCACCGCCGCCCATCCACACACCGTCATTCGACTTCAACAGAACGCGGCTCGGGATACACGGCGCGACCACACACACCAGTCTGCCAAGGCTGCACACGTCTCGCCCGCTACCGCTGACAAAACAAACAACACAGGGCCCGCAAACCAACGTAAAACTTAACTTACACCGAAAGAATGATCCTGGCTTCTATAACGTGACGAGAGACGACGAGAACCCCACACTAAAACTACCGTATCCGTGTCCGTGCCGTAAGTGCTGCACCAACCAACAACCGGCCCAACACAGATTTCGGTCCACATTCATTTTAAACAGTCTCAAACATGCCACCACCTCCTCCGACTGCCTGCTCATACAAAACGCTTCATGAGGGACCACTAGCGGCACGGCTTCGTCCGCGGCTGCCACGCGGGCGGGCGGCACACGTACCGTAGATGATGACGAACGACTCCTCGATGGAGTCCTGGTACTGGAACTGCGACTCGAGCAGCTGGCGGCTGATATAGTTGCCGCTGGAGGCGCTCTGGTACCAGCCGACCGACAGGTAGTCCACGTTGACCAGCCGCAGCAGCCGCATCATGTCCAGCTGGTAGCGCTCTGTGTTGCCCCGCGCGGCGCCGAGTCAGCACACGCACCGACACACACACCGCAGCACGAAAAAGGCCGACGGCGCCAACAAAAGTTACATCTGATGGCACTGTCAGCCCGATGACACTGCATCGGTCGCCGCAGGCTGTCTTCTCAGTGGCGCACAGTGCTTTAAATGGTCTGATGGCATGGCTGCAGATGGCTGCGGGTTTCGCGTCCTACCCCGGGCCTGTGCCGAACACGTCCCAGTACAAACACAATGTAGTCAAACATAGCCAGCTATGGAAGGTGGATTTTCGGAGTTTGGAAAAAGCCCGAAAAATGAAAGCCATGGAACTGGAAATATTTCACCTTAAAGGTAACACCTTGGTAATTGATGCTCCCTTCAGCTTGCCATTAACATATCAACAACTGTAAAGAGGGAATGGAGGAATGCAAGTTCCTCATTTTATGGTGTGCAATGTGCACACATTAAAGTTTGACAGGCTTGAAAAATTCAGCTGTTTAATGCTACTCTAACCATCAAGCCCCAGAGATGATGCAGTGTGCTGATCCCACTAATACTCTCGTCACTGAGCCCCACAGATCATAAAGTGTGGCGATCCCATCTTACCACCAGTGCAACATAACATCAGTTCTATATTTTGAGTGTATGTAATGCATGATCATCATCACCCCAACTTTGCATAACCATCCAGGCCACTTGCTAACTGACTGCAATAGACAGGTAAGATATGTGTGGTTTCTCAGACACAAACCCTCATGCTGGCCACACCTTGCTTAGAATATGTGCCACCTCAACATGGCTGAAATGAAAACACAATGCACATACCATCATCAACACCATCTATGCTCCTTGGGAATGGAAAGCAGTTTGTGACTTCCAGCTTGTTTTCCATGATGAGACCCAGCAGAACACCCTGTGCTTCATCAGCCTGGCTAGCTAGGTCCTGGTGACAGTGCTTGATGATCTTCATCATTGCCTGCAAGGCATGTATGTTCATAGTGAGATGTTGGTTTGCATTTCAGACACCTATTTTTGCTGACTTTGTACCATTGGATCAATATGCCCCACAATGGCAATGCAGTCATGTACCTAATCAGTCCACAAATGACCTTGATACAAACTTTTACTTTTTTTCTTCAAAACGGTCAGTATCCATTAGTAACACATTTAATGTTGACTAGTTCTGCTGCATGCAAAATGAACTTCAAAGCCTGATGTGCATGTTTGCTTAAGACATAAATTGTTTAACACAGGTGAATAAAAACAATGGCCCAACCCATTCAACAGGTCACAGAGTTGGCAGCAACCAGCTCAGGTGAAGTCTATGCTTGTGCAGATGCATGCACTGATCTGTGCACACACTTATGACATGGTGAATGAGCCCATTTTTTCAAACAGCATTGGTAGCTCCAGCAGGCTATGGTACATTGCCTCATACCAGATGGCTAAATCATCCTCTTTCATCCACATCCTTAGGGAGCTTTCACCTTTGCCTAAGAGAGTGGCCTCAGTGGCCCCCTGAGATATCATCACCAAGAGCTGTGCAACAAATAAGATTGGAGACCTCTCATCAAACTGCATCATATATATGTGCCTGAACAATGATGAATCAGATATGCACTGATGTTGATATATCAGATATAAGATATGCAATGATAATCAGCAGAATGATGAATCAAATAATGAACTGAATCAACCATGAAATCATTGGACATTTGGCTATATCAAGACCTATCAAGTGACATTGATCATGGAGAGAAAGTGAAAAGAAAGGCCTTCTGGCCATAGAATGTGTGCAATTTACTTAAATGTAACCCAGTTTCTTTAACCTGACGATCACAAGACGAGTACACCCATACCACACACTCACCCCTGGCCATGCCCCAATATAACAAGAGCAACCTGTCATAGTCAGGCCATGGCTGTCTGCAAAGGGAATTTCTAGAGAATCATTCAATGTGATGTAGTAACAGAGTGTAACACAAAGCCATACATATCTGGGATAGTTCCGTAGGCAATAGAGCAAGTGAATTTAGAAGTAAATCTGCTCCCATTGACCTAGGGTCAGGCATTAGTCAAAAGAAGGTCAATTCTTTATGACAGGGACCGCAACACATGTTTGAAAGACATTTCAAGGGTCAGAATATGTCACAGACCTAAATTGACCCAGGTCAACATTTTGTTATTAGGAACATGCCACCCCATGCCACCCCTTTTGCTTATTCAAAGAATGAAATAAGAGCAATCTTTCAGATATTTGGCTGCCTCACCCTTAAAATGTCACACAAGGTCACTGGACCATAGTGACCTTTAGCCTAGAACAGGCATCTCACCCAGCAGTGATTGCATGAGGAGGTCTGGGGCACTTGATACCAATCTGTTGTTTGACCTTGTTTGACTTCAAGGTTATGGCCTAGGAACCTCAACTTTCAGCAGAAGTGAGTAGAAGCTTATCTACCCTGCATATTTTGTATCTCATGCTATCTTAGTTTTTAAGATCTCAGGGGGTCAGATTAACTATGCCCACCCAAGTGATGCATATTCAACTGGCAACATGGGAGTGCGTTAATGGCAAAGTCAAACAACAAAAAGATGGTCATAATACCTGGTGTCAAGCATGCTAATATTTGGGTAAGGGTGTACAAATAGGTGGACAAGAAAAAGTGTGATGTTCACATGCAAAGCACAAAAAATCATGCAAACCCTAAGCATGACAAAACAGGTTTCCAGGGATTTAAACCTGCATATGCCTTCACTATCACATTGCATCAATAATGCTACCATAGTATATGCCTAACAATATTCCTACTGGTATGGAACAATATTATTATAGCTCTTATTTCTACAAAGCTTCTGTCAATACCCCTTTACCCATGAGTAATCAGGACTGCAAAGCAGGATTATATGCCTATCTGGAACCTTTCATTCACTGCAACAAACAATTATGACATTGGTGCTCTGAATTTAGATAATTTGTTCTGCACACTCAAGCTGGAGAAATTGCACTGAATTTTCATGGCATCCTTGCTTAAAGGTTTGGAAGATATCTTTACTTGAAAGTGCCTTGACAGTGGGCCACTTCTTGAAAACTTTAACTTTCTATTCTCCAAGACTGGTGGTCATTGTGCAACATGGTCTGAAACTGGTGGCCCTTGTACATTGACTCAGGGCTCTCATATTTACAGAATAATGTGCTGATATTGATGCTGTTACGTTGCTATACATTGAATGTCTGGCAAAATGTGTATCTCTTGTATTTGCAGTTACGATTGTAGCTATATCATAGAAGTAAAAAACCTATGTTGGCAAAGTGAAGAATCCAAATGCGCGACGATTATCTACACAGACAAACCTCCATGCTCCCAAAGCCTAAAAATCATCATATATGACCATCAATGCCGATATTTTCGCTCATCGCTTAAGCACGAGCGGAGCTTACCAGTCCGTCAATCTGGACATGAGTAATCTGAGGGTCCGAATCTCCTCCCTTTCTGGATCTTGATGCCATGATTCGCTTGCAGTGATTCAAACTAATATGTAATGAATAGTCCAATCCAAACGTTTAAAACAATTTTCGCACTCCTCTTCCGACAGAAAACAGATGGTTTCAACAACCAATCTCCCGCAAACACAACGCGATATTCCTGCGGCGTTCAGCACATGGGGCCGTGCGCTTGGAGCAGGCAGCTCGCCGCTTATGTTACCATATTTCAGTGCTGGCTGTGAAAGACAAAGGATTGTCAAAGGTATGAACAGTTTTGAAACATATTGCGAGTGAACACAACAACGGGGAGGATTGAAATTTAAGGAATAGTATGGAAATGAATACCGAAATAGAAACGTAAAATTAAATGTACATAAAAAGGAAATGTCAGGAGGAAGGCGGAGACGGGCAAACGTCTTTTTCTTTTCATTTCGGAAAATCATTTTTCCCCTAATGATACCAAATTATTACATTTTTGACGAGGCAGAGACAGTTAAAGGATGAAACAAAAATGTGCGTGCATTTACCACGCGTGTCATCAGGAGAACGTGCAGAGATGAGGGGTTTTGGTGCGTTAGGGGTGCAGCCACACTCGGCTCACACAACCACCTATTCATTCGTCCTGCACCACGCGCCTGCGAGACTTGTGATGGCCAGCTTGCAGTAGAACATGTATTGGTTGGATGTGCTGCTCTTACTGGAGAACGTCACCATGTGACGAGTAACTTGTTAACACTCCGTCCCCCCACATCCTCTAGACGTTGCTAAGCGACAGTGGTCCTGTCTTAACCGATCTTGCCTTGGGCTTGGGGATTAAATCATCATTGTGTATGAGAATCTGGAAAACCTTGAATGACGGTCCGTGTTGACCATATTTCTTTATTTCCTAGTCTATCAAAGCAACATTGCATATGTGTGGTTTTCCAGTGCATCCCCTTTCTAAAGTGGTCACCAGACTTATGAAAGATGGGCCAGGTTTGTGCAGGTTTAGTTGCAGAGCCCTGCTTTCCTCCCTTGGTGAATAATGCAAGTTGAAGCCACTAAAAAAGACATGATTCTTCTGTATAGCATAGCTCATTGGGATAATGTATACCATGTGCACCTAATTCTGCAAACACAATGGGGTTTAGAGGTGGCCCAAAGTGAGGTACATGCCAGTTAAATGTTAATATGCATATGAACTGAAAAGAGAATCACATGCTGCATTGCTCTTATCATGTGCCCTTCGACATCACTGGTGTTTTCAACAAATAGTTTGATAGAGACAGGTCCTGGTCTCCACACTAACATGCTAACCACATTACACTATAGTAAACCACATTAACACATAAAATGTTAATGCTTGTTTAGAATGAGTGGAATGTTGATGAAGTAATTAAGAACAAACAAATAGTTTTCACCTATTATCTAATTTGACCTGCTTTTGGATGTGTGACTGGGAGAAGGTCCAGGTGCATATCAATATGTAGAAAAAAAGAGGAAAGTTGTGTTCAACAATGACAAACTATTGATGGGAATCATGGACATTGCAACAATTAAGAGTAGTTAAAGAGGATGCTTGTAATCAGGGAAATGTTGAAGCTTTATATTGCCTGCTCTTGACCCCCATTGTCTTTGCAAATTACTGCTTTTGGGAATAATGATTTTCACTGTTATCTGCACCATACTCATCACTTTCACTTGCATGCAACTTTGATCTCACATTGCTACCAGCACCACATTAATTTTGTGGTTTTTCATGGCCATGCATTGAATGCAGTTCCAGTTTTCACAGCTTCATTTGATTGGCTGTTCCTGAAGTCATGTGCACATGTCACAAAGTTTGAAGGCTGACAGAGCTCCTGGGGTTGGTGGTCCAGGCTCAGCTCAATAAGCCTTGTATATTTTCATTGTCCAATGGGCCAATGTCAACTAGTTGACGGGAGATGCTTGTTCCACAGTTTATCAGAACCATCACCTATTTTCTTTCAGGCTGGCAGTGCCCACCAGAACCTTTACACCAGACTTACACCAGGCCCTGTGAGGAGAGCCAGCTGCTAGTGCCGCTCTGTGCCACCTCCCTCACAGCCTGACGGATGGAGCAGCAGAAGCTTGGAGGTGCCGTGGCGCACACCCAGCAAGACTTCATCTCGTTTGGCCGGGCAGCCAGGGGCGGGGGTGGGCCTGGCCGGCGGCGCGGCCGGGCGCCAGCTGGGGGTGGCCCCCTGCGGGCTCGCAGGGCGGCCGCCGACTGGGAGGCGCCGACCCGACCCCGGCCCGGCCGGACGCCGGCGCCGCGTCACAGCTGCCCCTGGATGGAGCCGGGCAAGGTCTACAGCCGCGGTATCGTCGGGTACGTGGGCAGGCAGGGTCTCTCCTCGCGCCTCTTTCAGCGGGATGCGGGCGGGCTGTGTCGCTAATCAGGATGCAGGAGAGTTTGATGCTCTTGCGAGATGCGTTCTGTCGACACTGAACATAACTTGTGTTGCTTTCCGGCCCATCTCAGTGTGAGTGGCTAGCATGCTGGCCTGTTCTCACAGTAATAGATGCATCGGTTTCGATGGATGCCGCGTCATGAACGTGCTGGGTGCTCTGATACGCCTCCAGACACATTTGGCGAGGAGGCCAGGGCGAAAATGTACCAGTTCCAAATGCTTGGGCTGTACAAGTTACCATTGCAATGCCCTGATACCAATATTTTTAGTAATTCGATTCATGCAACATCAGATTAAATCACTTGTGCTCAGATTCAGTAATGTTATGTCAGAAACCTCGTCCACCCAAGTTCCAGGAAGAAGCGTGTTCAGACAGAAATACGTGGATTGAGCTTCAAATTGATCTCCTATTAACTTAGGCTTTGACACTTTTCAGAAGACTTTATTGTTTTCCCAAAATTGAATTGCAAGATAGCAGAGCAAACATCTTTGTCATGTTGTGTACAAAGTTCTTATGTCGAGCTAGCACCCTTCAAGGTATGGGGAGATGCTGGACAAATGAAGCAGTGTTATATAATGGTGACATTGATGGTAATACAAATTTCGAGCTGTCATCATCCTCACGAGCATGTGCTCATCACTCTTGAAGATGAACACAGTTCAGCTATTGCTGTCTGGCACTACAACATCGCTTAACCTGGTACCTCCTGACTGCTTAAGGCTGTTGACTGAACACAAGGATTTTTAACTCGCGCTGCACAACCAGGAGCTGCGGGCCTTTTGTACCAAGGAGAGGTATTTTTGATAGCGGTCAATCATCAGCGATCATTCCCTGTATGGTGGATGCATGTGGATGCCGTGAGTTACGCCATGTTTTATGTCTTCTGCAGGCTTCACGAAGAGATTGAGGATTTTTACCAGTACATTTCACCCTCGCCGGACGAGCATCACATGCGCGCGCTCGTGTATGAAGCGATCCGTGACGTCATAAAGGGCGTCTGGAGCCAAGCAGAAGTGTTCATATTCGGCAGCTTTGAGACGGGGCTCTACTTGCCGACCAGGTGGGCTGCCGCCATGTCGGACAATAATTGCGCGCGTTTTCCTCTACTAGTATTTTTAAGCGTCGTTTTGTCTGTGCATCTCATCTGATTGGCAACAAGAGTACGCTACCTACTTCTGGTAGTTTGCTTGTGGCCTACAGCCAGCCACCGTTAATTCGTACCTGTGTGTGTTTGCCCCGATAGTGATATAGACATGGTGGTGACGGGCAAGTGGAACAACTCACCGTTGGAGATGCTGAAGGACGTGTTGATCCGAGCCAAGATCTGCCATCCAGACTCAATCAGAGTGCTGGACAAAGCCGCGGTGAGTACTGACGGGTAGCCACATTGGATCATTCTGTTGGACACATTAGGCGACGATGAGTGCAGACGCCTGTACTCGGTCAGCTGTTGGACTGCTGTTGGACTGCTGCTGTTGGTCAGCTTTTAGACTGCTGTTGATGAGTGCAGACGCCTGTACTCGGTCAGCTGTTGCACTGGACGATAAGCCAGCTTCGATTGGAGTGCGAGGTCGATTCCCCCGCCACGCCGCCGTTTCTGCCAGGGTGAGAGACGCGTGACGCCATATAGCCCCAGCAGCCGAGAGCGTCGTAAAGCCACACACGCACGCACGCACGCACGCACGCACGCACGCACGCACGCACGCAGAGGCCTAAGTGCGAGCGCCCACATTCTTTGGGATGTGAGAAAAATTATCGCGTGTTGGCGTTCATGCCACCGTGACACTATGCATTCCAAGGTTGTGTCTATGTGAAATGGAGATTTCGGTGCTTCATGGTACTGCTGTTCTCAGTTTGACCCGTAGTAAGCCAACCGTCCGGCGTCGTGCTGTATGCAAAATACGGCTTTCATCCGCTTCGGCTACATTTTGCTGACCCCCACGAGTGTTCGTTTGATCTGACAGTGTAGGCTTATTTTATGAAAAGGCGACACAGCGACCAGCGCTGGTTAGTGACTCTGCACTTCAAGACTGAAAATAATGATCGCCAGGCACAAAACAACAGTACACGTCACACCCTGTTTGGTGGTTCCAAGCAGCTGTTTTAAGGGTGCACGCATTGAGGCGTGGTTCCGGCCTGAAGTGACTTATCACATGGATATAAGTTCGCAAGTCAGGTGAGATAATGATGATGTGCCTAGTAACGCAGAAATGAACGTGTCACGTCACCTGATGAAACGGTAGCCAAACCTGTATGCGAGCAATAATTTGATTCTCTCGCCGCGTGATAAATCAGGTATTTGCTTCGTTTCCTGCTTTCGACGACATCTCGCGGTTGTTCTCTATATTGAGGGTGTCGCTCGCCGTGCCCCCTGCAACGCGTGCCTGAGTCCGCCGCTGGGCCCGGACACCTGTGTTGTGTGTCTATTACTGGGTGGAGGTGCCAACTCTCGTGGCCGCGCCCACCGGCGGTCTGCGCCATGTTCGGGTACATCGGCGCTCCCAGTCAGCTCCGTCCCGCCTGCCGATCGTCTCTGGCGCCGAGCAGTGACGCCGACCACACGCACGTCCGCGCCTCAGCGGAGGCGGCTCCGAGGCAAGGCTGCCCCGCCGCCCCTTCCCCACCCCTTCCCCGCCCCGTCGAGCCGGGCCTGCGCCGGCCGGGGCCGTCTGCCGGCCAGCTGTGTGTGCGTTGCCGCCCGTCGCCGTCCGCCGCCGCTGTTGGGCTGCGAGCGCCGTCAGCATGCGTCCCGACTTCTGCTGCATGTTCGCCGTGCTCTGGGTCACCGTCTACATCATGACCATCATATACTTCTGGGTAGTGATCGGCTACCGGCGCATCGTGGAGATGCCGAACCTCTCGTGCATCGGCTCGATGTCCGGCGAAGACTGCTGAAGACACCCGGACTGCGGCCGGCGAGAACTGCCGATGACACCCGAACTGTAGCCGGCGAAAATTGCTGATGGCACCGGAGCCGTGGCCGTCGAGAACAGCTGATGACACCGGGGCTGTGGGCGGCAAGAACTGCCGATGAGACTGAGACTGTGGCCAGCGAGAACTGCCGATGGCACCGGGGCCGTAACCGTCGAGAACTGCTGATGGCACCGGGGCCGTGGCCGTCGAGAACTGCTGATGATACCGGGACTGTGGTCGGCGAGACCTGCTGACAACACCCGGACTGCGGCCGGGGAGAACTTTTGAAGACACCCAGGCTGTGGCCGGCGAGAACGACCGGAGATACCCGAAATGTAGCCAGGGGGAAAAGACTGAAGGCATCTGACTGCGGCCGGCGAGAACTGCTGAAGACACCCAGACTCTGTCCAACGATAATTGCTGATGTCCCATCAGTGGCTCACAAAAACTGCTGATGTCCTGTCAGCGGCTCAGAAAAACTGCTGATGTCCGACGCCTGTCTTTTCGTGAATTTGTCCAGGGGCTGGCTAGAACTGCCGAGCTCACTAGCTAGTATCTGCCGGGGACTGTTGATACCGAGGCTGTCATGCGCTGGTCCAGCGTCTGGTGGAAACTGCTGGTATGCGGCCCGGTCTTTCGTCGGGTGGCTCAGCGGGTGGCGAACGCCTGTGGTGCCTCGCCGGTGGCCAGCGAGAACTCTTGGCTCCCGCCAGTGGCCGGCATGAGCCTCTGATCTCCGTCCAGTGACCGGTGGTGGTTGGTGTGCGCGCTTCTGATGATGGCCGAGCCGGCTGCGTCCGGCCGATAACGTCCCAGGGGCGGACGGGCGTCGGCGGGTCCCCGGCGAGTCGCCGGCGCTGGGACTGGGAACTTGGCTCGGTCGGTGGCGGCGCCTCTGCTGGCCGGAGCACCGGCCGAGCCCGGCCGCTGCCGTCCGCGTCCTCGTCGGTGTCCGTGTCCGGAGTCCGTGTCCGTGTCCGTGTCCGTGTCCGTGTCCGTGCCCGTGTCCGTGTCCGTGTTCGTGTCCGTGTCCGCGACCGTGTCCGTGTCCGCGTCGGTGTCCGTGTCCGTGTCCATATTCGTATCCGTATCCGTATCCGTATCCGTATCCGTATTCGTATCCGCGTTCAGGGTGTGTTGACGGGACGCTCGGGCCGACACTGCTCTGCTGCGCGATTGAGCATGCAGCGATCGCATGCTGCTGAGTTGGATAGGGAGAAAATGCGGGTAAATGGATCCACCATAGAAAATAAAGTACAAAATGGAGTGTGGGGAGTTTCTTAGGAGACATTGTTTGAATGAAACATCCGAATTCTGCTCATCAGAGTCGTGCTGGGAGAGCAGACATCACAGTCCTGCCGTAATGAGATGATCATAAGCGCGATATACGAGCATATCTTCCGTGTGCTTGTATGGCGACGTGTCGAATTCCTTTCTGATATTCATTCGATGTATATATATATATATATATATATATATATATATATATATATATACGTATATACATATTTCATACGAACATTAGTGTTGCGGGACTTGTGTGGGACCTGGATTCATGCCGTGCCTCCCCAATGTTTCCTGGGTTCTTCGAGGCGCCACTGTTGATTCCTCGCAGCCAGAACGTTTGTAGTCGATGTCTGTAATGGACAGTTCAAAAATTAAAGAAAAAATGCACGTTGAGGAGCCAAGGGGCGAAGTGGTAGGCAAACAGATGAGCATACAATGTTTTGAGGATGCAATGAGGGCCAATGTATGGATGAGGCTGATTGAAAGGTGCCTTTAATGGGTTGGCAGATGTTTAGGTTGCAATCAGGTGTGCAAGTAAATTGGCCTGCCATAAATATGGTCCCGGTAAGGTCGCGGTGTATTTCATTGTGGAACTTAAGCTGTGCACCGAACGAAAACTTATTCATGACGGGACTGTTTGATGCGATGTTGCCTTACCACAGGTGCCCCTCATCAAGCTGACGGACATGCGAACAAACGTCAAGGTCGACATCAGCTTCAATATGACGAACGGTCTGATCTCGGCAAACCGGATCAAACAGTACCAGGCCGAGTATCCGCACATGCCAAAGCTGGTGATGGTGCTAAAGCAGTTCCTGATGCAGCGCGAGCTGAACCAGGTGTTCACGGGCGGCATCAGCTCCTACAGCATCATCCTTATGGTCGTCAGCTTCCTGCAGGTACTGAGTCTGGGCGTCGTCGACCCGGACGCATTGAATGGGACTGGAGCGAAGTGTCCAGCGATCTCGCCGGGCTTGGGGTCTCGTGCTGATTGCTGTCCCATGACCAGCTCTCGCGCGTTATGGTTTCGAGCTTTTTGAAACGCAAAATGCGTCCCACTGTTGCCGAGAACATATTTTGACTGTTCTCTAAGCCTGCCGCTTTGCGGTTAGGGTAGCCCGTGTGCAGCTGCTGTATGCAGGAGCTGTGAATATCTGCCGCCTCCGAAATCACAGCGAGAGACAGGCTGAATTTCACTCATTTCGGGCCTAGATACAGGCCGCCGCGAGTCGTCATTTTAGGTCTCTGTTTGTAATTTCATTTGCTTTTTGCACTCACTGGTCAGCTTAGGCAGGTTTTGTTACAGCCTTTTCAGGCTATTAAAAGCCACCAAGACTGCGTTTCTGGAATCTCAAGAGACGGCTTCTTCCGTTTTTGCTTGCCCTTTCGGGTTCCTGCCCCCACCTGCCCATGTTGACAGGGCGGTGCAGGAAGCCATCCGCGGCTGATGGTGACGTGTTCGATAATGATATTCGCGGTGCATCGTGATGGAGACCCTGGTTAAAGTTAGCTTTGCTCAGACACCCGCAAAACCGCCTGTCAGGGCTGGTGATGGGTGGTCATGGGCAGGGGCCCGCCCCTAGTCGAGGAGCGGGTGATGAAGGCATCTGGTGTGATAGCATCAGCAGCTTACGCGCGCGCCAGCTCTGACTCAGCTGTGACGGCGGTCCCGCTCCCCGACAGACGCATGGCAGCTCAGGCTCAGCTGTGACGGCGGTCCCGCTCCCCGACAGACGCGCGCCAGCTCTGGCTCAGCCGTGACGGCGGTCTCGCTCCCCAACAGACGCTCGCGCCAGCTGTAGTTCAGCTGTAACGGCGGTTCCGCTCCCCGACAGACACGCGAGCTCTGGCTCAGCTGTGACGGCGGTCTCGCTCCCCAACAGACGCGCGCCAGCTCTGGCTCAGCTGTAACGGCGGTCCCGCTCCCCGACAGGCACGCGCCAGCTCTAGCTCAGTTGTGACGGCGGTTCCGCTCCCCGACAGACGCGCGTCAGCTCTGGCTCAGCTGTGACGGCGGTCCCGCTCCCAGACAGACGCGCGCGCGAACTCAGGCTCGGCTGCGACGGCGGTCCCGCTCCTCGACAGACGCGCCAGCTCTAGCTCAGCTGTGGCGGCGGTCCCGCTCCCCGGCAGACACGCGAGCTCTGGCTCGGCTGTGATGGCGGTCCCGCTCCCCGACAGACGCACGAGCGAGCGCTGGCCGTCTTCCCCGGCTGCAACCTGGGCGTGCTGCTGATCGAATTCTTCGAGCTGTACGGCCTCAAGTTCAACTACCACGGCACGTGTATCCGAGTGAAGGAAAATGGCTACGCGCCGCGGCACGAGGTGGGCGTCCGCGGCTCGGATGGCCGCCGAGGTGGCCGCCGGGGTGGCCTGCGGGGTGGCCGCCGGGGTGCTCCGTTGTATGCACACCCAGGTCATTCCAGAGGGCAGGGATTTGGTGTGCGTCATGGGCGGTGCGCTTTGAAGTCAGTTCGCGTTTTATTACGTCGCTATGCAGCTGTACGCGCCGTGCTGTTGGATACGTCCCGTTTTGCTATTGGTGACTGTGTTTAAGCAGTTCATTTCACTGATCTGTATGTCGCTGATTGGGACGATCCCGTTGCATGCCACTGTTTGGCTGCCCGCCGGGTGGCGAGCTGACGGACGTCGGGGCTGGTCCCTCCTCACTCCGCCGCCGTCACCTGCCGTCAGATGGAGGAGCAGTTTGTGGGCGTGGCGACCCACAACTCGCCACTGTGCATCGAGGACCCGCACAATGACTCCAACGACGTGGGGCGCTCCTCCTACAATATGCTGAAGGTCAAGAAGGCGTTCACGCACGCCTACCACCAGCTTCGCTTCAGCGTGCTGGCCCAAGGAGCCGCCGGCGACCCCAGCCGGGCCAGGTGAGGCGAGGGCCCCTGCACATCGTCAGCCGCAGGACTGGGGTGCCAGTGACGGTGCCGTGGTGCCGTGTGAACTTCGTGCGGTGCTGTGCGCTGTCCTGTGCTGCTGTATGGCTGTCCCGTGGCAGGACTATGGTGCCAGTGACGGTGCCGTGGTGCCGTGTGAACTTCGTGTGGTGCTGTGCGCTGTCCTGTGCTGCTTTATGACCGTCCTGTGGCAGGACTATGGTGCCAGTGACGGTGATGTGGTGCCGTGTGAACTTCGTGCGGTGCTATGCGCTGTCCTGTGCTGCTGTATGGCTGTCTTTTGGCGGGACTGTGGTGTCAGTGACGGTGCTGTGGTGCCACGCGAACTTCGTGCGGTGCTATGCGCTGTCCTGTGCTGCTGCGTGACCGCCCTGTGGCGCCCTGTAACCACACCGTGCTCTCGTCGGACTGGGGGTGCCGAGTGACAGAACTGCGGCACTATGGCTGCGCTGCCACGCTGTGCAGTCGTGTTGTGGCGTGTCTGACCTTGTGGACGCGGCGCTGCGAAACCACGCTGCGGTGCTATGAGGTCTCGCTGTGGCATGGTGTGGCCGTAGTCACTGAGGCGTGTGATCGCACTGTTGCGGTGTTGACCTCCATGTGGTCACGAGGTACCGCGGTGCCTTGTGGCCATGCTGTGGAACCGGCGACCTACCGTAGTGCCGCACCACCGGTCTGTGGTGCTGGTGACCGCTGGCACCACCGCGTGACTCTTCTGCTGCTGTTTCAGCCTGCTCGGCCGGATAGTGGTGATCGAGGACGCGGTGGTGGAGTACCGACGCTGGATCCGCGCCTGCTTCCCGGCGCCCGAGGAGGAGGACGGGCTGGCCCGCGCCGGACACGCGGCGCCGGAGCAGGACGCGTCGGACGGCTCGGTACGCCTTACAGCCCGCCTTCCGACGGACTGTTGGCCCACATGTGTCGCGAATACCCGGGTAGCTGATGCCACGCCCTGCCCCCCCCTCCCCCCCCCCCCCGGTCTGCCGGGGGAGGGTAGTGGCAGTCGCAATTGGGGAAATGCGCGGTGGAGCATGTGGAGTTAATTCTCTTTTGTGAAAAGCGCCTGAAGCTATAATTCGCCGAGCTGGGTCAATTTGGCGTGCGGGCGAAAAGACATGACAGGGGCGTTTGATTTTACCGTACAAATCATCGCGTTACACTGGCACCCGTCTTATGTAAAAGGGAGCACAGCGCACGTCGTCGCGCCGCTTTTATGGGGCGCCAGGAACCGTATGGGCCATATATGCGCTCAGCGGCCATGGCGCAAGCGGGACTCTAAACTGAGCCCTCACGTGGGGGTCCAAGACGCTAACCACTCGGCCATCGCCCGTCCTGTGTCATCTGTTGACGGAGGAACGTGACCCAGTCGCGCCCATCATTACTGGATGACCGGCCAGCGAACCTCTCGCGCATGTCTCAGGTTGAGAACAGTGTTTGTCATTGCGTCCCTTGCACTGGATCAAGGCCTGTTCCCTCAGGACGCTGACACGAGGTCATGACCGGCGGCCATGCCGGCGCTGGATGAGCCCGGCCGGTGACCTTCCGCCCCTGCCGACACCTCCTGCCGTCACAGCGCCAGTGCACGGTCCCACCGACGGGCACCGCCGGGCGTCGCGGCTGGAGCTGCCCGTAAGCGGCGCCGCGGTCTGCCCATCACAGCTGCCAGCTGGCCGCCGGGCCCGGCCCGCGCTCATCACCGCCGCTGAGACGATCCGACCTGCGGGGATGCCGGGGTGTCGTCTGACCTGCTGTGTATACGATGGGCGGCTCGGCTCATGTGGGCGTGTCTCGGAGAGGGGCGGCTCGGCTCATGTGAGCGTGTCTCGGGGAGAGGCGGCTCGGCTCGTGCGGGCGTGTCTCGGAGAGGGGCGGCTCGGCTCGTGTGGGCGTGTCTCACGGAGGGACTGCTCGGCTCGTGTGGGCGTGTCTCGCGGAGGGACTGTTCGGCTCGTGTGGGCGTGTCTCGCGGAGGGACTGCTCGGCTCGTGTGGGTGTGTCTCGCGGAGGGGCGGCTCAGCTCGTGTGGGCGTGTCTCGGGGAGGGGCAGCTCGGCTCGTGTGGGCGTGTCTCGGGGAGGGGCGGCTCGGCTTGTGTGGGCGTGTCCCTGGGAGGGGCGGTCTGCTCGTCGGCTGTTACGCGTGAGTGAGACGGCTTGTGATCCGGGCCGTAATGTTGGGAGTGTCGTCAGAGGATAGAGAGACGGGGATCAGCTGGCTGCACACTGTTTGGACGTGGCTGCCGTGGAGGTGGAGCGCAGTTCTAGCCTGGTGATCATAGACTCAGACTTTGAACGGGGATGAATAGCTGCCTTCTATGCATGAACCGATGCCGGTTAAGTGTTCTTTAAAAAAAATTTTGATAGATGCACTTAGGTGATTTAAAGGTTTTTACCGGGTATCAAGTTTGGGGGTTTTCCTGCTTCGAAAACTTCAAAGTACAAGTCATGTTTATTTATTGCACATCGATTTGGATGTGTTCCATGTCTGCATGCGGCTGTGTGGCGATTAAACGGCTCCACGGACCTTGTCCAGTGATAGTGTATGCATTGTATCAGTTGAAACTGTTATTTTCCCAAAGAAAATGCATCACTGTTAACAAGTGGTTCGCTTGAGCCTCGTAAGGTGCGATGCTGTTCCGGGCAGCCCATCGGCTGACTAGTTTTGCAAGAATCAGCTCTGATTGGTCAGACCATTATGGTTGGAGGTTTACCATTGCGGCGACAGCTTCGCGCGCCGTGCCGAGCCCGACCGTGCTCGCGCCTGGCTCAGCGACACCGTCTACGGCGCGCACACTCGCTGTCCGGCCGGCAACAGAGGTCACCAGCAGGCTGGGGGTCAGGCCCGCGCGACCCGTGCCAGGCCGAGGTCATGGCAAGGACTGCGACCTGGCCTGTTCTAAGCACGGCTGGATGTGAGAGGAGCTGACCTGGCCCGTCTGCCGAAGCGAGCGCGTCAGTGGCGGGGGGATAGCGTCGTTGCGGCGCGGCTGCACAGCCCCGGTGCGCCCGCTGGCGGTGCCCGTAGTGACGTCACGCGGCCTGCACGTGACGTCATCAGGTCAGGGCCTACCCGCCGGGCTGACCGTCTGTGGGGACCGCCGCCGCGAGCGAACTGACCAGCCACCCGGCGTCAGGACAGCGGCGACTCGGTAACGTAATCATCCGCATCGTCAATTCCAGTGCGGTCCATCGCAGCATCCGCGATCCGTGGAAACATTCGGGTGCCCGCCCCATCCACAAGCCCGGTGATTCCTACGGCCCGTTCGAGCTCGGATCTATATCCCTTGTCCCAGTCATCGCTGAGATTAGTGGAGGGTTCGTCCAACGGCGGCTCCAGCACTATCTTCCCATGATAACCTCCCTTCAGCCTCCCAGCACGGTTTCTGTCGTCACTCAGCGGACTCAGCGGGAGCCGTGCTGGTCTCCGTATCGAACGGCATGATCGCCACCACCGATAAAGCGGATCAGCAGGGGTTTCACTGCTGTTTTTTTTTTAATTCGACGCGGGTGACCAGAACTCACTGATTTGCAACTTCAAACTGCACTGCCTTGAGACCTGTTTCTCAGCGTATTTTGGGATACCCTCACTTGAGCGTATCTGGGCGAGGAGTTACAACACAGGACAGAGAACAGTCATAGCCCATGCTCCATAACGATGGCTGGGCAGCGGGAGGTAGCTTTAGTGGATTGACGCCGTTACAAATATACGTAGAAGTACAAATACAAGTGACACATAGCAGTACACACATCGTGCGACCCTGCGGTAGTACCATTGCACCACTTGGAACAGATCATGTCTATCCAGCGCAGACGAAGTCACGACTCAGAACAGACCGCGTCTATCCAGCGCAGACAAAGGCACGATTCGGAGCAAACCATGTATATCCAGTGCAGACGAAGGCACGACTCGGAACAGACCGTGTCTATCCAGCGCAGACAAAGGCACAACTCGGAACAAACCATGTCTATCCGATCACAGACGAAGGCGCCACTCAGAGCAGACCGTGTCCATCCAGCGCAAACAAAGGCACGACCCGGAGCAAACCATGTTTATCCAGCGCAGACAAAGGCACGACTCGGAACAAGCCATGTCTATCCAGTGCAGACGAAGTGGCCGCTGCAGCACCCGCCGTGCTGCGCCGTCACGTGTTAATCCAGGGAGGAATGAAAACATCCAAATGTGAATATCAAATGTCTTCACGTCGGTAGACATGAAGAAGATCACATTGAGCGGTCAAAGTTGCCTGTCCCTGGAGATCCCTCTGACTTCTAGCACCATACCAGCAGTGCCTTTGTGCGAGAGCTCCCCGGAGGCGGGACTTACGAGGCCTTTACGCAACCTTCCGCCGCCCGTCGGCGGAGGCCACACAAGGCCCCGTCAATCCGCCTTGGGCAGCCGTCCAACGCCGTCGTATAACCTCCTAAGGCGCTGCAGGGCTGACCGACCGGTCACTGACGCAAGCTTACGCAAGCCGCGTTGAGTTGGTTTAGTATGGATTTATGTGCGACGGCCTCACCCGCTGCACAGCGGCCTCATATGATTCGAGCAGCCTCGCTCATTGACCAGAGCCGGCTTCAATGGGGGATCTTACGGGTGGTGTCCTTGGCCGATCGCTCATTGACCAGAGCCGGCTTCCATGGAGGATCTCACGGTTGGTGCCATTGCCCGATTGCGTTTTCGTGTCCCGATCTGCCGGCTGACTGATGCTGCACATTCAACTGCGAAAGCAACGGCGTTAAGACATGCCCCTGCGACGTCCGTTGCCCGCCTTTGTCTTTTCGCATTTGCCTAATTGTCTTCAGTTGAATGGAAGCCAGAAGGTAAGATAATGACGCGATATCGCAAGTGGGGCAATATTTGTTGGTGCGCCTCCAGTCGCAGCTGTACCAGGCCTTCTAGTCCGAGCAAGGTTTACATTTAATCAACTCCTGGCAGCGTTCCTTCGTGTATGCGCACCCTGCGCAGCGACAGAGACTACATTTTTTTTTCGAGGAACGGGCTTCTTTAAAAAGCATTTCCGTTTAAGCCGCACACAATCTCAATCCCCCTGAGTTTTGGTGGCAGCACACGCCTGCCCTGAGGGATGCGCCTACGCATGGTACAGACTGACCTTACGACCTTATAGGACTTGAAATATGCTCCATGAGTTAAACTCGATGGCGCGGATATGACCGTAGATCCACGAGGGATCCAGTGTTCTGTCGTCAGGGTGTTATCCGGAGACAGGCACTGACACGAGGTGGCTGGCTGTTGGCTATTGTCGCCGGCTGACGGCGAGGGATGGGAAAACACCGGCAGAGGGTCACAGCGTCAGACCTCAGGGGGACACAACGTCAGACCTCAGAGGGACACAGCGTCAGACCTCAGAGGGTCACCACGTCAAACCTCAGAGGGACACAGCGTCAGGCCCTTGAGGGTCACAGCGTCAGATCTCAGAGGGACACAACGGTAGACCTCAGAGGGACACAGCGTCAGACATCAGAAGGTCACAACCTCAGACCAGCGTCCGACCTCAGAGGGTCACAGCGTCAGACCTCAGAGGGACACAACGTCATACCTCAGAGGGACACAGCGTCAAATCCCAGAGGGTCACAGCGTCAGACCAGCGTCAGACCTCAGAGGGTCACAGCGTCAGATCTCAGAGAATCATAGTGTCTGATCTCAGAGGGTCACAATATCTGAACTCAGAGGGTCACAATGTCTGATCTCAGAGGGTCACAGCATCAGAACCCAGAGGTTCACAGCGTCAGACCTCAGAGGGTCACAGCGTCTGACCTCAAAAGGACACAACGTCAGACCTCAGAGAATCACAGCGTCAGACCTCAGAGGGTCACAGCGTTAGACCTCAGAGGAACACAGCGTCAGACCTCAGAGGATCGAGGATCACAGCGTCAGACCTCAGAGGGACACAGCGTCAGACCTCAGAGGGACACAGCGTCAGGCCTCAGAGGGTCACAGCGTCAGACCTCAGAGGTTCATAGCGTCAGACCTCAGAGGGTCGCAGCGTCAGACCGCCGCTTCCCGGCAGATGACGCGATCAGCGCGTTATCTACGAGCCTCAGCTCGCTAAGGAACAGCTGCCTGGAGCTTGGTTCGGCTAGGACGGGCGACGCGGAAGTGTTACCTGCGGGAGATCGTTAGAATGTCCGCGTCCAAGCGGACAGTCATGTGGGTGCGGTTCTTCCACAGCCAGGATCGGGCCTGAACTTATCTACTTTGGATCGCCCGAGCTGGCCTCAATGCGAATCACAGGCGACAGAATAAGACCATGGGCCAACCGTCTCTCGTAAAATTGAAAACAAAATCCTAGTGGGATAACTAGAGCCGATCTAAGCGAAAGACCCTGTCCGCTTCATGACTGATACGTTCCCACGTCCCAGTTACGGTTGGCTGGTCTGTTTAAACGACTCGTTCCTGGGAAGATGAGTTTGACCTCAAGCTGCTGCAAAACATCGTGGCACTTCAATCATGCAGAAAACAATACAAAGACTTGCGCTCCAAACCGAGTGCGGGACAGCGCCGCGACCTTGCAAAGGGTCGCGTCCAGCGCCGCTGGCCGCGACCGCCGTGGCCTTGGAGCTGACTCTGCCACACGAGGCCACACACGGGGCAGCCATACAATGGGATGTGATCTCATCAGCGGCGGGGCGCCAGCTGTCGTCCGGCGGGGCTTCAGGGTCGTCCCGGAGCCGGCGGCGGCGGACGGCCCGCAGACGGAGACATGGCGGTGCCGCGGCTGCTCCTGCTTCTGCCGCTGACGCTCGGTGAGGGGCCTCGGCGGCACGGTGTCCGTGCGGCGGGGCGTGCTGGCGTCAGCCGGCTCTCGCGCCGCTGAGGTGGAGCTGAGGCCGGACTGCGCTGCGCCCTGTACGACAGCACGCGCACGTCGCGTCGCTTTTTTACAATTGATCTGTATTGTTTTTGGCGCTGCTAGTGAAGTTCACGGTTAAGCTTGTAGGAGGCCTGGTCCCTACGCTAGCTACGTCACGCGGTGCAAACGCATGTAGTCTTTTGAGTCATCAATGGGCTCTCAGCCTGAATTTAACAACGCATACCAAATCACCGATCTATCGACACGTTAAATTCACCCAACATGGCTTCGGTTGCATCCAGCTCTTGCCCGCTCGTCCTCATGAGCCGCCCTCGCCTGCCCCGGCTTTGTACGGTGCCCTGCGTGCGCAGGCCCGGGCCCGCCGGCCGGCCGCGCGCTAGCGGCGCCGCTGCAGCCGCACCCGCTCGACGACCTGTGCGCGGGCGTCGGGCCGCGGCTGGTGTACGTCACCAGCGAGGTGGTGCTGGTGACGCGGTTCTCCGGCGCGGCGGCCGGCACCAACGGGACGGCGGCGAGGAGGCGCGTGTGCGCGGCGGATCTGGTGAGCTGCCTGAACTGCCACCTGCAGCTGGCGGTGGTCTCCATCAGGCTTGGGGACTGCGGCGGAGGGGACGCTTGCAGGTGAGAAGCCGTCGGAGACAGGATGAAATGAGGGGAGGGAAGAGGGAAAGGGTAAAGCAAAACAAGAGAGCTTAACAGTTACACAGTGGCACGGTGGGAGAGATTGTGGGACATAGAGCGAGAGAGAGAGAGAGAGAGAGAGAGAGAGAGAGAGAGAGAGAGAGAGAGAGAGAGAGAGAGAGAGAGAGAGAGAGAGAGAGAGAGAGAGAGAGAGAGAGGAGAGAGAGAGAGAGAGAGAGAGAGAGAGAAGAGAGAGAGAGAGAGAGAGAGAGAGAGAGAGAGAGAGGAGAGAGAGAGAGAGAGAGAGAGAGAGAGAGAGAGAGAGAGAGAGAGAGAGAGAGAGAGAGAGAGAGAGAGAGAGAGAGAGAGAGAGAGAGAGAGAGAGAGAGAGAGAGAGAGAGAGAGAGAGGAGAGAAAGAGAGAGAGAGAGAAGAGAAGAGAGAGGGAGAGAGAGAGAGAGAGAGAGAGAGAGAGAGGAGAGAGAGAGAGAGAGAGAGAGAGAGAAAGAGAGGAGAGAAGAGAGAGAAGAGGAGAGAGAGAGAGAGAGAGAGAGAGAGAGAGAGAGATGAGAGAGAGAGAGAGAGAGAGAGAGAGAGAGAGAAGAGAGAGAGAGAGAGAGAGAGAGAGAGAGATCAAGGAGAACGGCAAGAGAAGGGAGAGCTATTTCGCGGATTGATGACTTTTCTTAAATGCTGGGGACGAAGAGAAAGTAACTTTTGCAGCGATTAGACAAGTCGGTGGGTGAGTGGTCTTGGAATTCGAGTCATAGGACATGACCCCAAATGACCCCTCGCGTCTCCGGTGCGCAGCTGTCACCACCTGCGCCTGACGGAGCATGGTCGAGATGTCGGCTCGTCCGGGTGCGACATTGACCGTGACCTGTCCGTGACCTCCGTGGGGCGGACGATGGACGTGCGCTTCTCGTATTCTGAGGCGCTAACAGGAGAAGTTCACTTCAGGGTCGTCTCCAAAGGTGAAAAGGTTTCAGCGATGCGTCTGAACGTGTTTCGTGGCGTTAAATTTAAAGGCAATGTTCTGGAAACGTTTGTGTGCGTGCGTTGACGATCTCCTCTGCATTACTACGACAATCTCCATCCAGTTTGTTTTCCGTCGTCGCCCTCGGGCTTTATGACGTACTCAGTTGCTGAGGCCGTAAGGTGCCAGTCTGATCACCACCCAGCTTCCCTGCCTGCCAGATTCTTTCCGCACTTAGATCCTTACTTGGATCTGATTTAAGTCAGTCCCATCCAACATGCATGAAAATGATTACCGTTCCCTAACTGTGGCTAAGCGGTAAGCCTTTCGTCATCTATACCTCGCAGTGCAGCACGCATGGCGATTTCTCCTTGTCAGTTTAGCCTTAAAGTGAGGTTTTACTACAACTGCGACTTCCACATGTTACCCACTCGCCACTCGTCGGGACAAAGTGACACTGTTCGACAGACAGCACGCTCGGCTGAAGTACCCCATTCACATTCTCACTGTGCTATTGCACAACCCCCCTAGATGGCGCTCTCCTACTAAGCAGACCGCCCGCACCTCCAAGTCGTCACCGCACCGGGGCCGTGACGTCACTCTGACGTCACCCTGCTGTGCCGCAGAGAACGTGTTCAGCTACGGTGACCCGTCCGAGGTGGCGGAGTCGGCCCGGTTTCCGGCCGGCTACCCGGCCCACTACGCGGCCGAGTACGTCATCCGGCGACCGGCCGACGACCACCGCTCTGCCATCCTGCTCTCCTTCACCGACTACCTCCTCGCACCCTGGGCGCTACTCGAGGTGAGCGTAGGCACTGGGCTGATGCCAAGGTAGGTGTGCAAGCACTGGACTGAGTCATTAGCCTCTGTGTCTCAGCACGGTCACTGCTATCCCACCGCACTGCAAGAACTGTCGGGGAAAAGTGCGAGCAGTAGGTTTTAGACGCTTGAATGAGAGCGCTCTCCTGAACAAGGGGCTGTAGCCTGTTTGACTCAATCATTACGCAGGTAGGGTGGCTGGCCCTACTTATCTTGTCCCTCTGCCGCCATAGCTAGCGAAGATGACGCGCGTGGGCGCACGTGAAGCGACGGCTTCGTTGACCCCCGTCCGTTCCCCCACCGAGACGAATCTTGACGTAACACCCAGTGTCATCTCGGTTAAACCCTGTCCGAGCGGATGCCCCGGATCAGCGGTTATGAGAAGGTCATTGTCAGACAGGAACCACTGACTGACCCTGGCACTGATGTGGCTGATCCCTCTCCCTTACCATAGGCAAACTGATGGAAAACTCGGCTGCATGGCCAGGGGCATGCGGCCGCGTTCCAGACAGGACAGAGAGGCGTTCCGGGGTCACACTCTGCCCTGACCTCTGACCGCCAGGTGACGGACGCCGATGGCAGCCGCGTGGCCAGCTACACCGGAGACGTCTTCCGGCCGCCGGTCACCGTGACCAACACCTCGGCGCTGCACCTGCACTTCCACGCCAACGGTCGGCCGGGCATCGGCTTCCGCGCCAAGTTCGACTTCGTCCGTAAGCGCACCGCTCCGGGGAACTGCGCCGCCGTGCCAGCTGGTGCCATTGGACTTGGCTGCACCACTCTTGTCGCTCAGGTGTAAGGAGCAACGCCGCGCTTCTGATGTGGTGCGTGAGCTCCATTAACGCGATGCATGCTAACAATGTATGCGCCTTATGTGAATCAGATTGGCTTGCTGTAGTTCTTTCACTGGGACTCGCACCATTGAAACGTGGATAAGGTGACGCGAATTTTTGGAGGAAAAACAGTCGAGGAAACCATTCCCTGGCATTTAAGATCCATTCATGAACAGCATTGTGATGGACCAGCTCACCTGCTATGCTCTGCCCGTCACGACGGGGCGCTAATGTCCATTTACACGCGTGAGCGCCTCAGTTATAAACACATTGCTGGCTTGGCTGCACTACGCCTAGTCTGCCATCTGCGCGACCGCGACCAGCAACAACAGCCGTCCACGCCCTCGGCATCCCTCGTCTTTGATGTCCCTGGCATCAGTGACTCCCCCAACGACCGTGGCACCCCTGAAGCCCCTACTACCCTGAGACCTCCGATACCCCTGACGCTCCTGACGCCCCTGGCGTTCCTGCAGTCCCTGAACCCTCAACACTCTTAACGTTGCTGACGCCCCTGACGTCTCCAGCGCCACCGCTGGACGGGGCGCCGCTCTTGCCGCCGCGCACCGACTGCGGCGGTGTGGTGCTCAGCGCTGGCGGCGCCATCACCATGCTGAACATGACGCACGCCGGCACCGTCTGGTACGACTGTGTATGGCTGCTGCGCGCGCGCCTGCCTGGCGGCCACGCCGGCCGGCTAGCCCTCCGGCTCAGCGTCTTCAGAGGCTTCGGTGAGTTGGTCAGGTGTTTCTTTGCAAGGCCAGCGACTTGTCTTGTAGTTCTATGCTTGCAACGCCGGTGTCTGTCACTCGGAGTGGTGGACAATGCGTGCGCAAAGGCAATGCTGTCTCTCATAGAAATGCGCTCTTGTAATGCGATGCCGTCATTCTCGAAGATGAAGGCGTTGCACTGTAGCTGCCGTCTTTGATAGGGTGTGTTGCCAACGTTGTTTTGATTAGAGCCCTTTCGGCCATCCATGACCTTTTCAGGTTAAGGAGGGGGGGGGGGGGGCGAATGGATTATTGTGGGCAAGACTACTTGCATCTTGAAACCTTTCCGCGGAGGCTATGCCAGCACAGGGACCCTTCTGCGGGATGTGTGCTGGGCGCTCGGACGGAGGACCTCACCAGGGAGCATTTCGGCCCACATCTGGCTGACGCGTGCAGCCTGCCCCAGAGAACTGGGGCGTCGCATGGATGCAGGATAAAGCGAGACGAACTGTACAAGGGTAGATGTCCGCAAGAGCTTCGTCATGTCATGCCATGTCATGTCAGAGCTTCCGCCGCACGGTTTGTTCCTGCGAGGTCCGTCGTGTCTATTCACGTCTCAGGCTCGTCTAACGGCAACACCACGTACGAGAGTACCGCCACTGTACAGCTTTATTATCGTATCGCATACCTCACGGGTCATGTTTACCACGCCCGCCCCCCCCCCCCCCCCCCCTCCTCCACCGCGGCAGCGGCCTTCCTCCGCGCTCGTGGTCCGTCTCTCGTGCTGGGACTGAGCCCCGCCACGCACCCGGTCTTCGCAGCTCCCGGAAGCCGCCTGAAAATAGTTGACGGACCGACCACCAGAGGCGCTACCGTCACCCTGGTCACATCTGACCTGAGCGGGGCGGAGGCGAGCGCCGAGCACGTGGTAGACGCAGACGGCAGCTTCTACGTGCATCTGCAGGCTGGATTCAGGCCCTCCTCCCAGCTGGCTCTTATTTACTCATCCTTCCGACTTGGAGGTAAGGGTTCTGAGGGAACTGCGCTGCAAGTATGCCATCACACCATCATCATCATGCCATAGGTGCAAGACCCATGAGAACAAGCTCTTTCGCAAACGTCCATGCATTGGTGCACCAAAGGCCCGGCCCGGCTGATTCTGATCCTGCGCCGACGCCGACCAACAGCCAGCGGTTAACGCTGTACTTCATTTGCCTGCGCTGGTTTTCAAGAAGTTCCTGCCATGCTTAAGTAATGAGTCGCTAATGTTGAGTCGACTTAAGTAATAATGTCATCATTGGCGCATCCAAGATGGAGGAGGTGGCTCAGTCTCAGACAAAGGGGAGCCTTAGCTTCCTTCTGTCAGCTTCGAGCGTAGTTTTTCACCACGGTACTACTAGATAAACTTCCGAAATCTGGTGATCCGGAAAGCTATTTTGGCTTTATATCTCACGATCACCAACATGAGCAGCGACATGTAGAGGCCAACAGGTGCGATATCACAGCGAGATCTGCGTCTAGCCGAGTGAATGTTGACAGTAACAGCTGAAACAGCTGGCTAAGGCACAAGGGCAAACCAACATCGATAGCTCGTTGATACGCCAGGCACCGTACGTGTTAGCGTTTGTGGTGTCCGTTAATCAGTTAGCAGTGCGTAGGTACGCCAATGAAGCTTGGACTTGCTGGTTAGAAATTCACCCTCCCATCGCTTTAAATGGTAGCCACTCCCGCTGCAAATTCTGACTCTGCCCCTGCTGTCCGTGGTTGTTGTTCGGGTGTCCGCGCTTCGGCGATTTTCACGTACTGTACCTTCACTTAAGATTGCGGAGCTCATCGTGAGATGGCGTGCGGCGACGGCCGCTGCATCGCCCAATTTCTCAAGTGCGACGGCTTCGCCCACTGCCCGGACAAGTCGGACGAGGCCGACTCCTGTTACACCTACTCACTGTGTAAGTAGGCATGTCACCGGAGCGCAGGATCCGCGGTGGTCGACACCAGAGAGCTCGGAGATTATGGGGTCCTCGTACAGGCCCAGCGACCACTCGGCTCAAGTGCCTGCCGAGGAGTGAGACTCCAGCATCCGGCATCTGCTCGTCGCATATCGTAAACGATCACTTACGGGTGCACAGACTCGCATGCCAGGACCTGTTGCAATGGCGACTTGGTTCTACTCGGCCGACCCAAGATTGCCTCCGCCCGTGCGCGAAGGTCTGCTTCCCGAAGCTCTGTCCTTCGGTGACAACGCGCCAGCATTGTTGCGTTACCGTCAGCATCATAAAGACCAATGTCTCACGTTCCGTATGGTGTTGCAAAGTGCAGCGATGGGTGGAACTCATTGCAGATTCTGCTAGTTGAATCTTAAGAAATTTGTATGCAGATGCTTTTACCCGGCAATATTTTCGTGCATCATATTGCAAACCGAATGTGACATCTCCCATTCGATTAACAAGGCAAGCATGGAAATGATAAATCCATAACTGAGCAGACTTGAATTCCAGCACGCCAAGGGTTAAAACTGCACCCACGGCTCGACAGCGCAGCGTCACAGCTCCGACTAACGGAGGAGGAGGGGGGAGGGGGGGGGGGGGAGTCGGACAGCTTGCGAGTTCAGACGTACCCACGCGACCCAGCACAAAGCTTAGTTCCGCTGGTTTAGAGTGTGTTTAGGGACTGATGTACGTTGTCAGCAACCAGTTCAGACAAACAGGCGAAACCAGCTGCATAGTGCTGGCGATCACACTGTCCGTAGCTCACTGGCATCTTATAACTGGCCGACCCATGAGAATGAGCGTAAAACTGGTAGACTCACGGGCGCACCAGTAATGAAACGGACGCCAGGAGGGAAGCCCATGGGAGCAGAAAGAGACTCGTAGCACGTTCCTGAAACCGGCATTGAGCATGGCACGTTTTAACATGTTCTCACTACTTGGTCTCAGGCACCGCATTCTCAGTCGATCGACTTCCCGACTCAAACGCTAGGTCTGGTCCGGCTTATAGCGAGCAAGAAGACCTCAAGCTTGTGAGTTGAATATTAGCGTATGATAGCTACATCAGTTGTTCACCTGCATGCTCAAGACCGTCTTAAAAGACGAGTTCCTCAGCGCGTTGCAGTGCCTGTCAACATGACTCGTCTGGCTCAACTGGCTCAGGTTTTGCGTGGGTCCATTTACTTGGGTTCAGTATCATCTGCATGATGATAATCTCAGGGCTGTCATCGCTTCGCTCGATTCACACTCGCACACTGCGTCTTATTCCCGCAATGTGCTGCGCAGGTTTTCTCGGTGAAGCCAAACAGGACTGTTGGAGGAATCACTGGAATTCGCTCCTGGAGTGAGTCCGCGACAGCACCCATAGTTCTACGGAAAAACCTGGCCGTAGACAAGCTCAAATAGAAGCTGCACTAGGACCCTGCTCATCAGCTCCCGGCCGTGTTTCTAAGAATGGAACACTCCCGTTGTACCGCTTCTGACTTGAAGGGCATGCCACCTGAAATTCATGGAATGCGTTCTCACATCGTGTTAACTTAGCAAGGTCAATGGAACAAGCGCAGAACTGACGTCACAAAAGCACGGACTCCGCTGAGAAAGCGTCGGGAGCGAGCTAACTGCCACTAAACTCGAGGATTATCTTCGGTGTGTCGTCCCGGTGCTGACGTCACAAAAGCACGGACTCCGCTGAGAAAGCGTCGGGAGCGAGCTAACTGCCACTAAACTCGAGGATTATCTTCGGTGTGTCGTCCCAGCGCTACAGCCAGTCTCGCCAGTACAACCCACAGCATGTTTTCCAGCATCCTTTTTCAGTCAGGTATGAATTCATGCTGCTAAAAATGTGTGTAACATTTGCTCGGCAACGATAACGGTAACGGTAGTGCGTTCAAACGGCGTACATACACCTGCTGGCGTGGCCTCCGGCCTAATGATGCGCCCAACGCTGAGCGGTGCTTATATTTAAGCTGAAACATTAGGGAAGCCAAATCCTCCAGAGGCTGGTGACTGAAAGCCTGGTCGTCCCCAGCAGTCCCCATGACCCCGGTGGGCGACGTTGACCTTTCTCCCAGAATCGAGCAGACGCGGGAACTCCGTTGCCAACAGAGCGCCGGAGAGCCGAGGCCTTCAGACCGATCCCAGGAGCCTAAACCGTCACGTTAGTCGTCCGGATTAGCGAAACGTGCAGAGAATGAAAGAGTGGATAACTTTTCAGGTTGAACCGCGCCGCATGCCTTACGTATACAGATATCGGCGTGTATGACGTGGATTGTCACATCTCTTAGAATTGTGGGTGTTATTAGGCTGAGGCTCTGGGACAATCTACACGGTTACATTTGTCTCCGCCCACCGCGACAGCGTTAAATAGGTCTCATATGGCCCATTATCCTAAAGCATGACCATCCATAACGCTAATGTTGCGAGGAAATAGAAGCCCAATCCCATGGAGCATTGTTCGTCATGGTCTCATACTGTCCCCCAGCTCTCCCAGAACCGGAAGGTGAAGCCGTGCCGCGTATCCCACCGACCTTTCCGCGTGATCTCTCGGCACCGGTAGAAAATGGGCCCGGCTTTCAGGGTCCGAGCACAAACTTTCCAACCTTGGGGAAATGTAAGTTGCTGGCCCTCGGCCAGGCGTAACCCAACAAACGTGGATGGAAAACTTGAGTGAAGGGTATGGGAGACGTAACAGCTTCAAACGGCCATGATTTAAACATTTTCCTCGAGGAATGCCCGTTCCGGAAGCTTTGTCACACCAGTGTTTCTGAGGATCCTCCACCACTGCCAGTGGGACGCGTTACTTGGCATGGGACGAATAATGGGCATAGGCAGAACGATACCAAAATGCAAGCTTGTATAACAGCCGTGCGTGGAAGGCATTTCAATGAGCCTAACTTGAAACGATGAACATTGGACATGTCCGTTTTTCACGAGGGTTTAGCTGGTAATTTATCGGTGAAACTCTTTTCTGAGGTGTTCACTGATGTGGTCTTTATCCATCAACTAGGCCCAAATAACCCAACTAACGAACAATCCACCAACTAGCAAGCAATATTGCCCGAGAGATTACTGAACTCTCTTTGATTTGTTCCAGTCCAGCAACTGTCACGGTTGTTTCAAACAACGGCATCGACGAGTTTGCACCAAGTTAGTTTTGCATCGATTGCCACGAAACGTTGACACAAACGTAAGCATGTTTGGGTACACATTGGTCCCGGCTGATTGGGTTTCACATCCGGCCACGTTTTCCGTGGCTCTCTCGCGAATACACTCGGCTGGTAGGTGACTCGTGTGTGATTTGCTTTCGAGACCGATGTAGTGGAGGTCTAGGCTGTTCCCCTGTCAGGTCGGTTGCCGGCTCCCCCCTGATTTTACCCTGCGCCGCGCTGAGCCTGCGATGCGGGCACACCGCATTTGCCAACACCCTGCAGCTGGTTTCAAGTCCAGATTCGGTCTGGTTGCTTGCATTGAACGTTAGCGTGCTAAACGGTCCGGTCGTCGTTGGCGCTCACGTTGCCGCGGAGGATCGTCGCATGGTTCAACTGGCGCACGCATTGTGGAGCATTGTGGCGCATTGGTGCTGACGCTATCGGCCATTTGTTTTCCCCAATTTAGTTGTGCTGAGCTCGTGTCGCTGCTCCTCCAGCGTGTCCAGATATGGCCAATGAATTTTGCCTTCCTCGTGCGAAATGTCTTGTATGTTGGTAAAACCGGCGTACGTTTGAAATATGCTGCGCATTGAAGTGTTTTGTATCTTATTATGGCATGCAGCGATTAAAATGGGGACGACAAAATTGGTCATATCGCGATGATGCGAGAAGTCTACGTCTCATCACATACATTGCGCGCAAATCCCCCTGAACACATTACAGCTGTTGTCAATCATTAATAATTAGCTTTTCGGCTATTCATGCTGTGACACTTATTATTTCAATGAGTAAGGTCTGCTTGGCATATGGCCTTCCTGGCATTCATGCCTGCGGGGTTTGCGTACCAAGAGGCGCCTAAACAATATCAACCGGGGTTGACCTTTCGGCCGCTGCGAGAATGCTGCGTCGGGACAAAGTGTTCGCTTGGGTCATCTCTGACTGATCGTCCGGTACCCCACTGATTGATCTCCGTTTGAGTGCAGCCAGGCTGAGCGCGTGTCCCTCCCTCAGCGACCAGCCTGGGGGTGCAGAACGAGGACACGTGGACGCTGAATCCGCCCAACTTCTACTTCCCCGGCCCGAGCCACTCGATGGCGTCGATAGAGTCGGCCACGCTCTCGCTGCTGGCCATGTGCCTCAGTAAGTCACGCCGGCCGCCGCGGCGCGCGGCGCGTCGCAGCGGATCACCCTAGCTCGTGACAGCCGCCGTCGGTCTCCGCTCGCCGCGCTGCCCACCTGAGGCCCATCGTGTGCAGCGGAGACGGAGTCTCCCTGCCCCGTCCTGTCCTGCCCTCCCCTTACGTACCTCTCCGACACCCCCGCAGGGCGCCTCGCGTGTCGGCGAGCAATGTTGACAGCCATCGCCTTTTATCATTCCTCATCTTCCAGCCGCATTTCTCTCCGTTGCGTCCCCTGAGTTAGCAGCTTACGTTAGGTCCCATGGTCAACTGCACCTACCGCTAGCTCGCCCCACCCCATTCCATTCCGCCGTCCATCCGCTGGCCTCCTCGCACTGACGTCCGCGCCTCTCGTTGGCAGTCATCGTGCTCACCATGACATCTGCGGTCATCTTCATCTACTCTAACGGCCGGGTGGCAGAGCGACGCGCCCGAAACCGCCTCCTGCGGAGCATCTCCGATCTCATGCGAGGTGGGTATCCTCTCTATCATCTCCGATCTGCCGCGAGACGGGTGTCTGCTGCCAAGCGCTGTGGTGAACCCAAATCTCCAGTATCATGAGCTGTGGCTGTCCGCTGTCCCGTGAAATATAGCAGGCCCCATGGCTTGTCGCGAATCCGGGAAAGTCTTCTCCGACAAAGACAGCTTGAGGGTTTCACACACACCATGATTTGATGTTACACGGTCTACAGAATTGTGTTAAGAGTTTCTTCAGAAATAGCACAAAATTATAAACAAAATAGCGTCCAAAATTGGGTGACTTGATACAGTGCTGTACACGAAGAAAGCCGAAGTACAATCCACATCGGTATTGTCGTTATCGATATTGTCATGACAGTACTGTTGCTGCACATCGATATTGCCAACTTCGTTATTGTTACTACACATCGATATTGTCATGACAATATCGTTTCTTCCACGTCGATACAATTATGGCGGTATGGAAAGCAAGTTATCGCGTAATGGCGTCTGGAGCGGTAGCTTTACGCGGAGATCTTCAACATGTGGCTGACGACGCTAGTGAGGAATCATGACACCTCCATCAATGCAGAGCTGAGTTTCATAAAATAAAGGATACCAACTTCGCAATTCTGAATCGTGCCGAGTGAGCTTACAGGTAGGCAGTTCGTCGATTTTGTTTCGGCTTTCGGTCTTGTTGATGATGAATAAGGCGTGTTAGCGAGGCCACATCAGCTGTGGGGCGTGCACTGATGCGGCGAGATTTAGAGGTGTTTTGGTTTGTAGCTCCTTTGTGTGAGACTGGATCCGCCTCCCAACTTGAAGACGTCCCCAAAAAGCTTATTTCAAAGTAAAACACATTCCGTTATGAGAGCCGGCCAGAGGCTGCTCATGATTTGTCAAGTAACGGCTGGTTGTGTGGGACGCAGGGTCAGGACGCCTTACTGTTCGGTAAACTATTTCCTGAAGATCCCTTAAACATCAACAGGTGTCACCAACTTGGCGGAGCAGCGTGTGGACAAAAGTGGGTCAGTCGATCCAGCTTTCCCCAATCAGCCAGGACATCCCGGCTGTAAACAATTGCTGGCTGCGTCACAGCACAAGATAAACGCCTCCCGTGTGACTTGGCACGAAGTGAGCGCAGGACAGCAGTCCAATTTCGCCCTCTCGTAAATGTGCGGAAGCCCATACGGTAGGGAAGAGTTTGTCTGTGGCAATGCCTTTCATTTGTTTTCCTGTGAGGTGAATAATTTCATTTTTGCATTGAACATTCCAGTATTACTTAATCGCTCTCCACAATAGGGTAAGACTCGTCGAGCGGCACGCATAAACTTCTATAACTGCCGTTTTTTTAAAAATGTCGGAGGAATTTAGCAGACGAAGGCATGTACGTACACATCATCACCAGGCATTCTATATATTTTTATGATAGACTGTCGCAAAAGCGGTTAGTGTCCCCCTAAATGCCCCCAAGCGATAAGTGCCTCGATACCCCTGTACTATAGTTCTTGCGGGAGGACACCACTGATGAGACATGTCAGGCGCGCGACAAATTGTCTGGCCAACGGTGTGCTGAAAGTGGAATAGATCGTATATATATATATATATATATATATATATATATATATATATATATATTTAAGATCGGACGCACATGCACACTCAAACGCATGCACACACGCGCGCGCGCACGCACGCACACGTTCAAGTAATGATATTATGATGTATTTTTGAATATTATATATTTATATACTAAATTTATACTATATTATCATATTATATATAATTTTACATGTCATTATAATTTATATGCGTAAGTAATATATATATATATATATATATATATATATAATGTTAATATGATATTATACGTATGATATTATATGCAATATTATAATAAATCAGGTAATGAGTGAAACTAGGTGAGTGAAGAAGTTATTGTTAGGTCAGTCGGGCAAAAGACGCCGCGTTACCCTACACCGGCAAAGAAGACGTTACTGTATCCGTATGCCGCCTGCGACTCCTCTCACCAAACTTCGCAAATGCAGTCAATGACGCGACCAGTTCACGAGCAAAGAAAGACTCATGTCAGAAACACAGATCAAGCAGTCAGCGAAGCTCAGCGAGAGCGTAGGGTGTTGAATCAATCCGCGTAACACACGCCTCGGGCAAATGAAATGACAGTGGACTGCCTTCAAAATGTACTCAGCTAGGTTCATGCGAATGGAAAGGGATCGAAACAAGCTGCATGTTAATCGCAGGGGCATTTTTAATGACTGGCGAAACCAGAGGTGGAAATCCAGCGTAGGTTCAGAGCGTGCCCGTTCCTACAGGTAGAAGGGCCACCCACCACCACCGCGGCTTACGCTGACCTAAGTCCACGTCCGTGCCAGGTGTTTGCAGACCCTGTTCACCGAGCCCTGACATGACCTTGACATGACTTTGGATGTTATCGGTCTGAGAGGTCGCAACTGCGAGAGCATTCTGAATAAAGCCCGGCTGCTGGATAGATGGACGTCGTATGTGAAACACGGCCACTGCCGTCGCGAGCCACCACCGCAGCTGCACATGACGATGCTCAGGGCGTCTGAGCGGCAATAATGGCGCGGCTCGGCAGCTTTAACACGCCCGAATCAAGCCCGGGAAGAAACGAGCGGGGGCGAGCGGATGAAATGAAACGTGTTACAATCATTGCTATGAACCGTAACGGCAGGAAGAGTGGCTTCCTTCCAAGCCCCAACGACGTCTTTCCAGGCAACCAATCAAAAACGTGAACGTTGGTGAGTACTGTGGTGTTCTAGTTGAGCGCATGCTCAACAAGAGGGCCGTTTATTGGCTCGGTCAAAGGCCGTAGCAGAAGCATTTAATAAGTTGGATATCTGATTCCGCTCGGATAGGAAAAAGCTGACGTGTTAGCTGTGGCGAATGGTGACGTTGACGGTGTGGAACTGCATTGAAAAGAGTTGAATCTTCGTCAGCCTCAATGTCATTTCATGCTATTGCTTCCGAGCCCCGCGCATTTATTGGGCTGATCTAAAATCCCGGCGGATCTTCAATAAATTTGAGCTGAGCTCCCACAGGAAATTAATCATTCCGCAGAGCTTGTCAAGCCGAATGGCTGTATATGAGAGATTCAGATGCTAGTTGCTGTGCAAAATTTACGGCAGATTTATGTAGATAGCTGATGTAGGTCACCGTGCTTCGACGAGGATCGCGCTGTTCCTGATGGATGTCCGGTGCTTAGAGCGCAGTGAATTACGAAGGAGCGTGCGCCTGCATCAGTTGGCCCAGCTTCCGGTGGAATATCTCCTGAAAATATATTAGTGTTGCCACTAGGTGGGAGAGAAAGCCCGTAGACCTTGAGGAGAGCGTTCCACGTTTGTATGAGGTTGTCTTGAATCGGAACATTCATCTAGAAGACTATTTGGTGCAGTTCACAACCCTGTCCTTCTTAGACCTAAACACTTCTAGCTTCTCAGCTGTACGCCCGCGAAAATGTGCAGACTATTTTGGGGAGACTTTTTCAAGGTAATCCGTGCATGTATGACACCATAATAACGTCACCTAAACCCTGTCATTCTATTGGCCATGCGGCGATCAAGGCCAATAAAATTATAATTGTCGAGTCGTTAATATCTGGCGTTCGGGAGCACGATTTCCTGATAAAACGGCCGTCAGTTGGCGCTCAATCGATGTTGCACAAGGTATGATGGACGTAGTCAAACAGTGACTTATTGAGGGGTTTATTTACTAAGCAGAGACATCGTGTCGTCTAGAGCAGCCTTTTCCACTTAAAGGCATACCAAAAGTCATAAGTGAGCTTATTTCACGATGTGTCATGCTTGCCTCAGTATCCTCAAATGTGGAACATTTCCTTAAAACTGAAAGTCTCGTAAAACGACAAGATGGCGCGCGTGCCGGCACCAGCCAGGCGGTGAGATGTCGCATGAATTCATATTTAATGCTCTTAAGCTCTCTTGTTAGTTTAGTGTTTTTGGTTGCCACGTTGTTGGGGTCATGCCTGCCACAACAGCCGTTTCCACGAGAGACTACAACGCGAAAGTCTTCAGCGTTTGTTTTTTAGCTACACAACTGTTATAAACGATTTGTGACCAGGCTTGTTTTGCAGAGATTTAAAAACATGCTTTAAGGACGTTTATGTCAGTATAATTGCGGTCTGCTGGTTATAAGCAAGATCATACTTGTACGAGTAGCTGTGACAAGCTTTTTCCGAAAATATTTCAACCTGTGAAAACGATTTGGTGGCGCCTCTGACGCAGACGCGACAAAACACGCTGCAGGCTATCTTATCCTGTCCCTATTATAGGCGCGCAGAACTTACATTGTTCGCATACTTAAACATGGTCTACGACGAGTGATCCTTCAATCAGATGGTTTTCAAAGCCCGCCCTGCCCCAGCCAGAGCCGGCGCCGATGTAAACAGAAGTGGTGCGGTCAGCATCAAAAGCCCTGGACCTATCCACATCGGTGCTTGGCCCGGTATTATACTAGATGTCGGATGAACCAAAGGCATAGGCTGAAGAAACAATAGTCTATCAAGAGTCTTGTTTCGTATAATAAACTTATACTGAGTTTGGATCAAGGCGGTTTAGCTATTGAATGCCAGTGACATCGCATCAACACAATAGTTTTCTTGTAATTTTTTAGTATACATCTAGACTTCCTAAAATCACCATATCAGCTTTTAATAGTTTTTCAGCGCATTAAAACACCGTAGAATCAGTTAATTTGTAACAGGTTAATAGAATGCTGTGCCCGAAACACTGAGCACAAGGATTGGTAGGATGGTATCACGACGTTGTGGGCATGTTTAAGAGCCGCATGACCGAAGAAAATGTGGATGCCCTAAGAAATGTGAACGTTGGGATGAAATATGTGATTTCAAAGCAATGAGGTAAAATGGTGAGCGCATTGCCCTGCCTGAGATTGATAACAATTGTAAGCAGTTTTTTGTTCCAAAGTGTTTGTTTTGATTAACCCAACGGTGGGCGGGTATCACAGGAGACGACTCGTTCTGGGATGGATATTAATTCTGGATACGCTATAATGTTTCCGAAGTAAACTGCACTCAAGACCATAAATATCCAATGCGGTCTGTATCGAAACTTGCCAATATGGCTAACAAGGAACACATGTCCCCACAGGAAGCGATGGACAGCATATTGCAGGCAGGTGAACGAGATTATATTGATTTGGTCGTGTGATTGCAGACAGGCTGGCTTTCCCCAGAGTGCCGCTTAGTGGTCCTGACGCCAGGCCCTCTGCTGGTACCTAATGTCAGGGAGCATCTAATCAAGGTAATTTTGGGTCCATTTGTTGGCAGGCAAAATTGCTCTCGTAGTCGGTATACATTAAAATACGATGGGCAGTAGCGAAAGAACCAACGAATAACCAAGCACTTACCTGATCAAGCTTTAAGAGGAAGCGCGTCTGTAATGGCGAAAACTGACGACATGACGAGGTCTCCACTTGTTTGGATGTTTGTTGGGCATTGGTACATCTTCGGTCAGGACTGCCTCTTTCCGGGTTACGGAGGAGGCAACCATCACAAACATCAGCGCGGTTGAAAACAAACCACGAAGCATCAGTTCACAGAGTGTCGCGCGCCACGCACGCAATGGAGACTTGACAAGCGCCCACGTCCTGGCCTGCCGGCTGATCCCCTCCCCTTCCCCTGCCTCTCCGCTCCGCGCCTGCAGCGCGGGACCGGGGTCCCCGGGAGGTAGACTGGCCCGCAGCGCGTCACGTCCGGGCCGTCCGCCGCGGCAGCGCAGCGGCTGGCCCCGCTGTCATCGGAAGCCGCCATGAAGTCTTTTAAAACAACATATATATATATATATATATATATATATATATATATATATATATACACATCATGAGATCACGCAACAGCCGAACTTGTCGACGCTCTAATGCATGTTAACTCTTAGATCTCTTCGGTGATTTATATATATGTATATATATATATATATATATATATAGAGAGAGAGAGAGAGAGAGAGAGAAATATATATATATATATATATATATATATATATATATATTACATTTGTCTTACATTTTGTCTTACATTACATTACATTGGTCTTACATTTATATATATATATATATATATATATATATATATATATATATATATATATATATATAAATGTAAGACCACTTTACAGAGATCAAACGTCTACAAGGTTCCGTGATATTTGCAGCCAGTCTATTTATGCACTTATGCCAATGCAAGCTGCAAGCTATTGCGACCTCCATTCAATCTTACAATTTCGAACAGTCACTAATCCGGAGCTGGTGTAGCTGGGCAAGGAAAAGTTGAACAGGAGCATGTTATTCCCAGAAAACAAAAAAAAGCTTAAAATGAGCTTAGATAAGACAGCGGTAATAGTCTTATTCCTCGGAGAAAAGCCGGGATAATGGAAATATAGGGACGTTGATATGCTGGTAACATGCATTTATAAAAACGAATAGCAGGAAAATTGCTTCTGCTATTCGTTTCGACAAAGGCATGTTGACGGAATATCAACACATTTATATTTCCATTCTCCAGATTTTCCTCCGAGGAAGAAGGCTATGCTACGTGCATAATGTTCCCCACAAATGCACTTCACAACTTACGTAAAATGAACTTAGTTGCCTAATCAACTTCAAAGACGTCATTCAGTTATTCTTGCTGAATTATTCAAATAATTTCACTGTTTGAAGTTCACACGCCCTCATGGTCAGCACGACTCGAACAACGTTTTTAGCAGAGTGGCCTAATGAAATGAACCAGGACGAAGTCCATTTTTTAAATCCATGCGTGCCATTGTCGTTTCCGCGATAGAGTGATATAGTGCAACCTTTCTGTGTGCTTTCTCAAAGGTCCTCAAATCTTCGACATTTTCTAGCACATCACTGCCTTACAAATGTCCTCGGAAGTATATGTATCACGCTCTGATGTCTCGCTAATCTCAGCAGGCTATTGTCATCTCATAATCAAGCAACTGGAGAAATGGGTCCGCCGAATAAGCCAACGCTCTAATGCATGCCAGCTCTCAGATCTCTTCGATGATTTCGTCCCGGAGTACGAGCCGGGGAATTCATGATTTCGTTCTGGCTTCATGCTTGGACACATTCCTACAAACTTCATCTTTGTTTGCAATCGTCACAAAATGATGCTCACTTTCAGAGTTTCAACATCATTGCTGAAAGTCCTAAACGTTGGCAGTCGGATGTTACCAATTCGCCAATTAAATGGTTCGCACTGCAATGCAGTCTCCTGTAAGTCATGTCCGAGCATCTCCGACAGGCAGTGTGGAGCTGGCGATGGTCCTGGCGATGGTCCTGTTCTCTCCTATAGAGTCCGGTGTGGGAGTGGTGATAGCAGCGTCCTCGCCTACAAAGTTGACTTGTTTTAAGAGCGTGATGACCCTCTCATAACCTACAGAGTCCAGTTTGAAGCTGTTTATGACCCTGCTTTCTGAAGGTGGTGAGGACGGTGACGTCGTCTCATACAGAGCCCAGTGTGGGGGTAGTGATGGTGACGTCCTCTCCTACAGAGTCCAGTGTGGAGGTAGTGATGGTGACGTCCTCTCCTACAGAGTCCAGTGTGGAGGTGGTGGTGGTAACGTTCTCTCCTACAGAGTCTAGTGTGGAGGTGGCGACGGTTATGTCCTCTCCTACAGAGTCCAGTGTGGAGGTGGTGACGGTGACGTCCTCTCCTACAGAGTCCAGTGTGGAGGTGGTGACAGTGACGTCCTCTCCTACAGAGTCCAGTGTGGAGGTGGTGACGGTGACGTCCTCTCCTACAGAGTCCAGTGTGGAGGTGGTGACGGTGACGTCCTCTCCTACAGAGTCCAGTGTGGAGGTGGTGACGGTGACGTCCTCTCCTACAGAGTCCAGTGTGGAGGTGGTGACGGTGACGTCCTCTCCTACAGAGTCCAGTGTGGAGGTAGTGACGGTGACGTCCTCTCCTACAGAGTCCAGTGTGGAGGTAGTGACGGTGACGCCCTCTCCTACAGATTCCAGTGTGGAGGTGGTGACGGTGACGTCCTCTCCTACAGAGTCCAGTGTGGAGGTGGTGACGGTGACACCCTCTCCTACAGAGTCCAGTGTGGAGGTGGTGACGGTGACGTCCCCTCCTACAGAGTCCAGCGTGGAGGTGGTGAGCGCTGCACCGGACGAGCCACCCGTCTACGAACCGCCGCCAGACTACGAACAGATCGTGCACTGTTTTGCCGTCCATCGGAAACCCAAGAAGAAGCGGGGGAAGAAGGCGGCGCAGCGGCCGCACTCCAGGTATAGTGCCGAGCTGCCACACTAGCGCAGGAGTCAATAGGTATGGTGCCGAGCTGCCAGACTAGCGCAGGAGCCAACAGGTGTGGTGCCAAGCTGCCACAGTAGCACAGGAGCCAACAGGTATGGTGCCAAGCTGCCACACCAGCGCAGAAGCCAACAGGTATTGTGCCAAGCTGCCACACTAGCGCAGGAGCCAACAGGTATGGTGCCAAGCTGCCACACTAGCGCAGGAGCCAACAGGTATTGTGCCAAGCTGCCACACTAGCGCAGGAGCCAACAGGTGTGGTGCCGAGCTGCTACACTAGCGCAGGAGCCAACAGGTATGGTGCCAAGCTGCCACACTAGCGCAGGAGCCAACAGGTATTGTGCCAAGCTGCCACACTAGCGCAGGAGCCAACAGGTGTGGTGCCGAGCTGCTACACTAGCGCAGGAGCCAACAGCGGTGCCGAGCTGCTACACCAGCGCAGGAGCAGGCAGCGGTGCCGAGCTGCCGCATTAGCGCAGGAGCCAACAGCGGTGCCGATGCGGTAACTCGCGGCGGCGGAGCTTGCGTTCTCGCACCTCCGTGGTCAGGGAGAACTTCACCGGACCCGTTTCCTCATATTAATTTGTGTTCAGCCAGAGTAGTTGGGTGTGTTTCCTTGTATTTTAAAGTTTATGCGATACGGAGTCAAATCCTTCGGCTGGCCATGGATGTGCCACATACACATGAAACCAACATTTGTGTGCGCTGAAAGCTATCCATAAATAAGAACAAGGTAATTTATATTGTTAAATATCTTGACAGTACGATTTGGACATCATGTAAAAGGCGCAGTTCTCAGCCCTTTGGAGGACATAAGATGCTCATTTGAAATAATTGAATATGACACATGTCGTTCATGGAGACTAATGCGCTGTCTGTTAAATACAATCATCGTGTGTACCCCTCTCCGTTGTCCTTGATCCACCCAGCCTCCGTCGCTGTCCACTGTTAGTCTTTGACTTTACGCCCTCCGCTGTAGTAGACTGCCAAACCTGTGTGTTAATCCCTGACTTTCCACCCTCCGCTGCCGCAGGCTGCCAAACCTGTGTGTTAATCCCCGACTTCGCGCCCTCCGCTGCCGCAGACTGCCAAACCTGCGCGTCAATCCCTGACTTTACGCCCTCCGCTGCCGCAGGCTGCCAAACCTGTGTGTTAATCCCCGACACCATGCCTTCCGCTGCCGCAGGCTACCAAACCTGCGCCTCCAGCTGTCAACGGAGCTGAACGCGGCGCTGTTCCGGGGACCGCGACGTCAGCTGCCGCGGCACAACACCGTGCCGAGCTTGCACCACTTTAGCGGCCACCTTGAGGCCGCCGACCCGGCCGACGACGCCCGGAGCCGCCGAGCAGGCCGGCCCCTCGGCCGCCGGGCCGCCGGACCGCAGCGTCGAGCTGCAGCCGTCGCGGGTACTGCTGCCCGAGCAGGTGGCGGCAGCGCGCGCAGGCCGCTGCGCCTGCGCAGGCGCGTGCGGCTGCGCGCCGGCCGACCGCCGTCGCTCCATACCCCGGTCCAAGTCCGTGGACGTGCTCTCCAGCCGGCCTGGGACGGCGCTGGGGGAGACTGACCGGCTGGTGACGGCGGCGCCCGACGGCGGCGGCGGCGGCGGCGCGGCAGTCTCTCTCCAGAGCGGCGGCGCCGGCGGACGCTCGCCGCCGCCGCCTTACGAGCTGGTGGACGCGCCGGACGCGGCCAGAACACCAGATCGATGAGCTCTCACGTAGCGCATATTCGGCCTCCGTCGCAGCTAGCTTAAGGCAGTCAGCAGCCTGGCTGCCATTCATTCGGCTCGGAGCATGTCACGCCGTGAATGCAACTCCAGTCAATGTCGAACTTTCTCAGTGAATGGCGGAGTAGATGCGTCTAAAGCATACCGGGTGTCGGCCAGACGTGGGTCGTAATGTTGTTATCGCGCTCCGCGCTATTCGTATGCTGTGGGGTAACGCGGTTGGTTGACTTCTCATACACTGATTGTGGGAATGGCACGTGTGCTTATTAGCTATCGCTGATATTCATTCAAACATGCGAACCTAATGAGTTGTCAATGATATATGTTGTTGATAGTGTCTGGTCCTTCTATCTTTTTCGGATGCAGCGATAGATGTGGTTATGCGGCGTAGTTGTATTTGGCTACTGGGTGTTCGCATTACAGCTCATTCTCTCAATCATTTCTTCAGCGTCGTTTTTCATGGGATTCAGCTATGGAAAATTTTGCTATTTCATAGCATGTTGCACAATGTCCCTGCGCAGACAAATTTTCTCTACGCGTCTTTCGCAGCCGTGGTATCAACCAACCACTCACATGCAGCATCGCTTTTACGGTCTGCTTCTGGTCGCGGGGCATCGTACCCGGCTTTCATCGGACATTCTCATATGTTCCGGTATGTTATGAGGAAAATTGGGCTCTGGTTGAGGATGAACTTTGAAATGCTTTCTTGATACCTCTTTATTGTCCCAGAATGCCCAAAGCGCGAGAGCCCTACAGAGAGGAACGCGTGTATAAGCAGAAACATAAGCAAATTATATATGTATGACATATATATGTATATATATATATATATATATATATATACATATATATATACATATATATACTTATATAAGCATATATACATATATAGCGCATATCCCTCTAACAGAGGTAACAAATGACGCCTACGATGGACATCAGCAATCAAAAAGACCGTTTGCCTGTTTTCGTAAGTTTTGGAAGCTCATTCAGTGCTAAGCTGACAAGGGTTTATAACAGGGTTCAACAGCCGATTGGTGAAAATTGGAGAACAAAAGTGCTCATAAAACTTTTTCAGCATATACCTTATGATATTCTGTAATAAATGTAAAGGATCCATTCAATGAACGTACGCCCGTATATCTGGGCGCAAATATAATGCACGCATGCCTTGCGATTTATGAATCTGATTATGCCGCATATTGTCAACAGCTAAAAACTCCAGGCATGGAATGCGTAAATGATAACAGATTGCTAAAAAAAATATGTTACATTTTGCAAATGCTGCTATATTATTAAATTTTCCCTGATGGTTTTATTTGGTGAAACACGCGGACGTATCATCGCTTTGATCTAGAAAATGTAAATAAATTAACCGTGGACTGAATACTCCTGCAACAAAGGGACTAAAGGAGGCTCGTAATGTTCCTGAATGAAAAGAAGCTGAAAATATAGTAAGAAAAGCAGGTAAAAAGTGCAACAAATATGGAAAAGATGAATGCCTGAATGACAAACAACGAAGATATCAGTGATGTTAATAGCGCAGAAGCGAACCGAAGCAAAAACGAGACCCGCATCCAGCGGCGCACACTGGATTTCGGGAAGGAAGACAAACGGCACAACTCAAAAACTCTCGCTGAAAAACAAACAAGCGTACCGCAGGCGCGCGCAGTTCATACGTGTGATGGAATGACATCATGCGTTGTCAATCTCTTTATTTGTGTGTAACTAGAATTCATCTATCCAATCTACCCAGACTTTTTAGCTGTCAACATTTAGTCACGTTATATCAAAGTGCGGCATAAATTCGGTAAGGGGGGGGGGAGTCACGTGACCTGCGGGCTACGATATGCGGATGCCCCTGGTGAGTTACATTACGCCCCTGGGCCAAGGCCTCTGAGGATGGTTGTTCCGCTTTTGATAATGGGTCTGACGTCACGGCGAGAGATCTCCAATCAGGACTTGGTATGCTTACAAATGCATTTCTATTAAGCCATATTCGACTGAGCTTACATGTGCAACAGCTCTAACAGCCCTTCTTAAGCTGACACTTTAAGACAGATCTACTTTGTTGCCAAATCTGAAAGGTGCAAAAATTAGGAAACATGGAGCGAAATCCACGGAATATTGTCAGCTTCATCAAAATGACGAGTAAATCGCAACGCGTAGGCCTTTTCTTTCCTCGTAACTATCACCGTCATCGTAATGTTCAGAAAAGGCTTTTCGTGGAAAGACGTACATTACATAAAATGCGTACATGCATATCGTGGCGAGACCGACCAATGTGCTCACCATGCGCCTACCCATTCGCCATTTCACATGTGGCGTGCTTCATGGCTTGGTCGCACGCGACCTATTTTGCAAACTTATGAAGGTGAAATGGTGTCGACATGACGAAACAATAACGCTTCCATAGCACCACTGACCAGCTGTTTTGTACTTGTGTTTTGTATTTGTGTAACTGTACGTGTATTTCAGATTTGATACCAACTTAGGTCCGTGCCTTGCACTGCTAGCTTGAAAAGTGCTAATGAGCACCAATTGTGAAGACATTTTTGTTTGACATGAGTGCGCAGCCCCAAAGAGAATTGTGGGATGTCACTCCATTTGTACAATCGACATTTTGTTTTTGGAAGCAAGTGAGCAACACATTCACTTCATGTCATTGGGGCTTTACGACGCACTCAGCTGCTGAGGCTATATTCACATTCACGTAACACATTCACTTCAAGTTTATCCAAATTGAAATTGCGAACATATGAACAGAAAATGGTGGCCCAAAGCGCGCAAAGTAATTGGTGCAAAGCAAATTTTAAACATGTGCCGAACTTCGTCTTTTAACATGTGTTGACTCTCATCTTTCTCTCTCTTCGCAGATCCTGCATCTGTGACATCACCATTAATGGTTGCTTTGTATTTGCGCTGTTTTGCACCGACCAGTAATTACGTGTGAAGATGGACCGGGCCCAGAAGCTCGTGGACTTAACGCGCTTTTTACACACCACGGGAAGACCAAATAACCTCCTATAACCAGGGGCGAATCCAGGGAGAGGGGGCCACGGGGCCATGGCCCCCCGCCTTGGACCCCGAAGAGGCCATCGGCTCCAAGGGGACCCATAGCCGGCCGAACAGGTGCGGTTTTTAACACAAGTCGCATCAAACTTAGACATTTTTGTATTTCCAGGCGACCAACAACAGTTGCAAGCAAAAGTAAAAGGCCCACGAGAAGTAGAAAAAAACTTCAATGATAGAAGAAGTTGTGAGCTGGGAATTCTCAGCCTCATTACACTGTAGGAGCCCTGTGCTGTTTCTGGGGAACCTATATGTCAGCTCGCAGGGTCATTTCGATTGTTAAGGAGCCTTCCACGTTGTCCATTTCTTTGCATTTTACTCGGAGGGCCCTGCGCTGTTGTTGGCCCCCTCCTGTTAACGCGCCGGAGCGCTCTTGTCAATCACGGGCCCTTCCACGGATTCTTTCCATTCGTCAGAAAGGATCTGTGACCTATAGCCGGGGCCCCATATCTCAACCTGCCGGGGTAGTCTCGGCTGTTCCAGGGGCCCTTTACGTGGATCTCGGTTCACCTACCGACACACACGTAATGTGTTCAGGGGGCCTCTACATTGGTCTAGGGCGCTTCCAACTCTCCGTCACTTGCTTAGGGCCCTACGCTCTCGTCGGTGACCCATCTGATAGCCTGCTTGGGCACACTTGGTCGTTCGGGGACCTTCCACACTGGGTCTTGGAATCTTCTTATCTGAATGGGAACGGGGCTACGCTCTTGTGGGGACCTATCTGATAACCTGCTCGGGCTCATTCGAACGTTCGGGGTCCTTTTCATCGGTTCCTGGGCACGTCCCATTTGAATCGGGGCCCTACGCACCTGTCGGGCCCCCATCTGTTCGCCTCCTCGACTACACTGGACTGCTCGGGGGGGGGGGGCCTGCACATTGAATCTGGGTCTTTGAAATTAGGGCCCTGCGCTCCTATTGGGGTCATCCGATAATCTGCTCGGGTACACTCCATCTTTCGGGGCCCTACACCTTGTGTCGTGAGCATTTCTTTTTTAATGGATGACCCTATGTTCTTGGCGGGCTCCATCCATTAAGCTGCTTGGGACGGTGGCGGATGCAGAAGGGGGGGGGGGGGCACAGGATCACGCCCCCCTGGACCATGCCGAGGGGATCTAGACGCTCCAAAGGAGCCCATAACTGCCCGAACGGACGTACTCTTGTAACAACAAAAACACAACAAAATTGGACGACTTTGGGCCAACAGACGACCAAGAAAAATTGCCAGTAAAACAAGAGTTCCTAAGACAGTTCCAAAACAGAGTTCCTAAGAAGACAAAGTTAATTTCTCGCTGATTGAGAGGGCGTTGCTTGGGGCAACTTTGGGGCTCATTACGCTGTTCAGAAGCATTACACTGTTGGTTGCCTTGGCCCTATATATTCCCTTTCCGGGGCAATCTGATCGCTAAAGAGCTTTCCACGTTGCCATGGATCTCTTTGCATTTTCTTGTAGGGCCCAATGTGCTGTTGGGACGCTATCTGTTTTCATCCCGAGACACTCTTGGTCGATGCAGGTTTTCCTTCACGGATTCTTTCCATTCGCCCGAAAGGCTCTATACGCTATTTCTGGGGCACCACATACCGGGGTGCGCTTAGTTCCCCAGGGGCCCTTCATTTTAGTCTCGGGTTCTTCCCACATGCCTGGAGGGCCTTGTGCTATTGCTGGGGCGCTTATAAGGTAAGGCATTGAGAAACTCAATGCTCAGGGGCTCTCTAATTTGATCAAGGGCTCTTTGCCCTTGGCCTTATTTGCGGACGACTCTTAACTATAATCGAGGCTCTTTCTGTCAACCTGCCAGTGCTTTGTTGATCGCACAGGGGTATTAATCATAGCCTCAGATAATTCCGCTTTGCTCAGAGGTTACTGTGCTTTGGCCCGGGCCTGCTATGTCAGCCTGTCGGGGCACTACCAATCGTTTAGGGCCCACCAGGTTGGCCTTCGGTTGTTTTTGCTTGCTCTGAGGACCCTATACTTTTTGAGGGCAGCTACTTTGTTGGCCTCCTGCGGCACCCATGATCACTCAGGTTCCATCCTTATTGGCCTTGGCGTGTTCGCCTTAAAGGAGCAGCCGGATATGCGCCGGTGAATTTTTGCGCGTAATTGTCAAACTTAATGTTACGTGCCGCCGGCGTCGCACGTGTAATTTCCATTGGCTTTTGAGCGTGCGACACTTATTATACTAGTGCATCATGTTCTTAACATATTTTGAATGCTGGGATATTTTGTACTACTATATAGCAAAGGAAAAATTCTGCATTAGTTATCAGCCATCAGCTGATTGCATCGTCCAGCCGGCTAGCCGCAACTAAGCTAAGAATAAAGTTCGTACTTGGTTTTGATGGTCGTTAGCAGCCAATTCAAGTTAATTTTGCTTGTTGTTCCGAAACACTCAGCCACAAATTGTAGGATTTAACATGACCTGTAGAAAGTGAATGAGCTCTTCGTACGTGCACACGTGGAACGCCTTGATTTAAAGGGCTGCGCATAGTAAGATATGTCTATATTTATTACTTTTGTTATATATATATATATATACATATATATGTATATATATATATATGTATATATATATATATGTATATATATATATTATATATATATATATGTAATATATATATTTATA